GGATCTGTCTCTGCTCTCTCAAATCTTCCAGTTATTGAGATGGATCTTTAAGGATTAGTCAGCATACACGGTGCGCTCAGTCCTCGTGAATCCTTCCAAGGAAACAAATGTAGTGTACTTTTAAGGACTCTTAAGTACACAGGTCTTCCTCTGTGTTTGTGTGTTGTTACAGTTCCCTGTCCCTCGACAGTAAATCATAAACACTGAACAAGCTTGGTGTCTCTCTGGCTAAACATCACTCTGCATCTCAAAAGAACTCTGTAACCTTAAAACACTCACAAACATTAATTCAACTTGCCAGAAACTGGCGAGCAAAGTGTTGGAGTCGCAGACTGCGGGGCGGTGTCGGGGATTAGACAGGTATGTGTGGACACAGAAGAAGCTTCAGGATATCTCTCCTCCCTCCAGTTTCTGTCACATTCGCAGCAGTGCTGGCCAGGAAGTGGGTGAAAGCAAAGTGTTTAAGTGAATTCAAATAAAGTTTAGCTTGGCTGGTGACCACTTGGTAGAAGTAGTGCTTCTAAATACACTTCATATGTATATAAAGAACAAGAGAGAGAAGTCGCAGAGGGAAGTGATGCGGAGAGCGAAAGTGAAAGAATGACTACTGTGAGAGGGCCAAGGAACCTCCAGCTCCATGTAGACAATACAAACACAGTGTGCTTCACTCATGCTGTACCTGACCTCTGACAGACAGACTCAAACATACACACAGTACAAACAGTGGGTGTTATACTTTGCTAATTAGGAGTTTTGATTGGATAGAGACTGACGTCTTTGATCTTAAAGAGGCTCTATGCAACACTATGGGTGTATTTATGATTNATTAATAATTTGTTTAAAATAATTTCAAAATCAATTTGAAAATGCAGATTTAAAAGAGCAATAAATGCCAGATTTTTCACTTTTTTTGTTGTATATATTAGTAGGCTATTAAAAAAAATCTGCGTTGTTTTTATGTACTTTTTTTAACGTGCAATATGCGATGGGGTGGTTGCCTGGCAACAATAAAAAGGCACAGCACAGAAGTGTTTTTTTTTTACTAGCGGCAAGCCAGTGCGGTATGCCTTGCATTTTACAACCTGCAAAACACTTCCTGTGTGATGGGAGCCTTCAAGTCTTCTGCAGCGGCCCAGGTTTGATTCTGACCTGTGGCCCTTTACGTGTCATCCCTCCCGTCTCTCTCCCACCTGTCCTGTCTGTCTTAGCAGTCCTATCAATAAAAACAAAAATTCTTAAAATAACAACAGTACAGGAATGTTGTGGTGCTCAAAATTCTAACCATACCAGCATTAGTCTAGATAGGTAGTTAGCAACCTTAACTGTAAAATAAGAAGCCAGTATGCGATTCCTTAACTCTGTTGACATGGTTTTCAACTAGCCTTTATACTGTACTTCAACAGCATAATGGAATTTCTGAAATACAGTTAATAGCATTTGGTTTTGATGTGCCATCCCAAGATTTTCAGTGGCCCCATCTGGACAACCTTATGAAAATGTCAGGGGGCATCACTGGTTGCATTTAAGCATGTTCTTTTATCATCTCCTTTTAAAAAAATCAGTTAGGAACACTTAAGTCAAAGAAAACTTTATTTCCATTTGCAGTATTATATTTGGCAGTATGGCTCTGTTCTGGGGCCCCTCTGCCTTTCCTCTGGTCTATGCAGAAAGCCTCTTCCATACGCCTACATGGAAAGCATAAGGTGGAGAGAGCACACCTCTCTGCCCTTCCACATGCAAACAAGGAAAGCCTGAGGCAGAGAGAGCAAACCTCCCTGCCCTTCCATGCGGCTATATGGAAAGCCTAAGGCAGGGAGAGCAGCAGCAAAGACCCGCCAGGAACAAAACAGAGCAGCATCAATGACAAACAGAAATGCCATTGATAACTCAGACACAGCATGAAAAGGAGGAGCTGGGGTGGAGGCTGGTTGCAAAGCAGCTTGCAGAGGAAGCAGCAACAGTAGGCAGGCCAGAGCAGTTTAAATAGGGCACCCTGAATGAGATTCGCTGATTGGTTGCATAGAAAGGAATCATATGATCTATCAGCTGACTCCCTTCCATCAATCAGCTGCTCCATCAGTTGATTGGGCTGTTTGAGATCAGCTGATGTAGCTGGGATGTGAGCTGAGCTTGACATCGTGTCCTGCCTGAACTAACGCTATGCTCAGTTTATGGCTTTTGGTTTTGGTGTGCCACCCCAAGATCTTCAGTGGCTCCATCTGGACGAGCCTGTGAAAAATTTCTGGGGGTGTCACTGGTTGTGTTTACAGTATGAATACCTCTAAGTTGTTCGGGCCTGTACTTCATGTATGATCTTTCCTTCTTGTGTTTTGTGTCCAGATTAAAGGCAGCGACGCAGGCTGGACGCTGGGCTACATGTTAAATCTGACCAATATGATTCCAGCTGAGGCTCCTGACTCTCCCCCTCTGCCCCACGCCGGCTACGTCTCCATAGTCACCCTCATGGCAATACTGCTCTTCATCCTCTTCCTCGTCAGCCTGCGCCCTCTCTGGCCCCGCTGCTCCAAACAGCCTCAGATCGTATAAACACACACTCACACAGATGTATATATAAGCGTCTGCGAGGGAGGAAATGTCTGTGAGGGCTATTCGGCCAGTTTGTGAATAAGATAGTCAACTTTACACTTTCCAGATTTTGTGGGGAGGTGAAAGGTCAACGTCTGCTGCACATCAACAGTCCTGCAGCTCATGTGGATTCAAGGACATTTCAGAAGGACAAATACTTTCTCCACTCTCTCTAAGAAGGGAGTTTTGCTTCTCCGGTTGAAGGACAGTTTCTGTGTTTGCGTGTCAGTGTGTGTGTGTGTGCGCGTGTGTGTGGATTCGAATGCGTGCTTGAGTGTGTGTACCCACATCAGTCTGCATGTATGTGTCTTGAATTATGATGTGAATATGATAATGTATAAATAAAATAACCCAAGTTTATATAAAATGTTATATTGGCTTGTCATTTTTACATTTGTAGAAAATATAATAAGTTAGAAAATGTTTATTGTTGCTTGTTTATTTACACTTTACCCACAATGCTAAGTGGATTTTATAAAAACAACCTTTACAGAGTTTAGCCCTTCATTAAAACCCAAAAACCAGAAAAATGACAATGAAAACAGCAGGAAAATCATCTTTGTAGAGGTTATTTCCTTTGATTTTTGTGATTTGAAGCTATTTTTAAGGAGAGACACCCCAGGTCAATGGATTAAAGCTTTTAACATACAGGTAACACTATTAAAAATATGCAAATAAGGTATATCTAATAAAATATGTGCTGATTTGCATCCATTTCCAGAATAAAAATGTGAACATTGGATAAATTAAGGTTTGAAAATTTTGTTTCATTTTATCGGCACATTAGAGTCAAATGTTTTTACAGAGGAAAATTTACGTATCTGTTTTTTTTTATCACTCTATAAATCAGAAAATACTGTCAACAGCCATAAAAAATCCACTTTGCCATGTTTTAGGAATAAAATTTTATATGAATCAGGCTATGGATGATATATGAACAAACCCCTCTATAAAAACCTTCAGGATATAGACAGTCAGAAATAAAACTAAAGTTTGATGTCTTTAAGTGACACTGAAGTAAAGATTCTGATTCAGGGTATAAAAAAAATATTTCAAGAAAATGATAAATATAAAATATAAATATATGTACCGTAAAATGTCATGTATTTTTGAGACACTCCAGGTGAATGGAGATAACACCATGAAACTTCCACAGTTGGTCATTTATATTTATAAATTATATGTTTGTACTCAAGTTTTCTGGAATTTTATGTTTAAATATGCCAATAAGGAATTATCTAATAAAATATATGCTGATTTGCATCAGTTTCCAGAACAAAAAATGTGAACTTTGGATACATTAAGGTTCAAAATCTTCAGCCATAAAAATCCATTTTGCCATGTTTTTAGGAATGAAATGTTATATAAACCAGGCTATGAATAATATGACAAACGCCTCTGTTAAAACTAGGGCTGTCACTAACGATTATTTTCATTGTCGACTAATCTGTCAATTATTTCTTCGATTAGTTGACTAATCATTCCATTGAAAAACATGTTAAAATGTTGAAAAATGTCGGTCTGTCTCGCCCAAACCCCAAAATTACATCATCTAATGTCTTGTGTCACACTCACGCCAAAGGGTTTTAGTTCACTGTCACAGGAGAGTGTGTAAAGCTGCCAATAGAGTGTGCCAGTAAACCCAGAACTCCGTTAGCGCTTTTAGCACTTCCGGTTCTCGTCTAAAAGTCAATACATTTTTTGAATGGGATTTTGGTAAAATGCATCAAATAAGCTCTGTGGTTAACAAAAGCTTAAGCGAGTTTCAGGTTTTGTTCTACGACATAAAACACGTCAGTAAATACCCTACTTGTGAATTCTGAAGCTTTTACGTGTCGTAAAAAAGGCGGTTGCTAACAAGTTGCTCAATACGACTACAAACCCTGTCGGGGACATTAAACGTCATCACCCCCGAACAGGCGAGAGTGCTGGCAGTCTGCCATTACAGCTTCTTATTTAGCTTAAACAGTCCGATTTCCCCATTATACAATGTTTTAAAATAAAGCGGCCGAAATCAGTTGAAAGCTTAGTGGCGGTGACGTAAAGTCATACGACCGTGGAGTAGTCATGTAGTCCGTTAAAGCCTAACGTTAGCTTTTTACTTCTGGCGCTCGCATTTAAGCTTCAAATGTGGTATGAAAGGTGTTCATATGTGAAGATTATCTCGCTGAACAAAACCTGTAAGTATCATAAACTTGTGTTAGCCACAGAACTTATTTTCTGACATAATCCAAAACACAATGCAAAAATCACATTCACTTTCTCTTCCGGGAACTAGCGCGATGCTAAACTTCCGGGTTTTGACGTCAGCCCTGGCACACTCTATATCTGAACGTAAAAAGCTGCAGTAAGAGAATTTTGGGGTACTTTTATAGTACTTTTCTATGAAAAATGACTCAAACCGATTAGTCGACTACTAAAATAGTCACCGATTATTTTAATAGTCAATTAGTCATCGATTAGTTGACTAATCGTGGCAGCCCTAGTTAAAACCTTAAGGATATAGACAGAAATAAAACTAAAGTTTGGTCTATTTAAGTGATACTGAAGTGAAGATTTCTGGGTCAGGGTATGAGAAAAAATGTAAATGTAAAATATCATACATTTTAAAAACACTACAGGTGAACAGTGTAAAAGTTTAAACATTTAGATATCACCATGAAACTTCTTGTATTACAGGTTTTTAAAATGTTATGTTTAAATATGCAAATACAGCATTATCTAACTAAATACACACGTTTTGCATACATTTCCAGAGCAGAAATCTGAACTTAAATAAAAGTTGTATAATAATGGTAAATAAAATATATTTAATTAATGTTCAACTAAAGCATGACTCGTAATGCTGTGTCATGACTTCCTGTTGCTCATCATTAACAAATGATTACGTCACTATGACTTGATGTGAGCAGCCCACACTTATTAGATCATCAACTACGGAATGTTAATTCACAGTTACTTACATTAAATGATACACAACCATGTCAGCTGGATTACACTTATACTGAAGTTTATTTCAGAGCAGTGCATTTGCTCATCCTCTCTTAAAGCAGAACAGTACTTTTGTGTTACTTCATTTACAACCTATGGGGGGTAGAGCTTCAATCCACCCGTTAGGTTGCATATATGTATAAAGGGAGGAGATAGAGGCCACTGATATCAAGACAAGGAAGCTTCTCACAATGCATTGAGGGTTTCATCCCAAGTCAAGCACCCTGAGACACCTGTACACTAAGCGAAACGAGGGAGGCTGAGGACTGGTGAGCATCAGAGCCACTGTCCAGGACGAAACAACCAAGATCCAGGAATACATCAGGAAGATGGCCCCCAGAGATGAGCTGCTGAGTGAACGCCTCAGGCAGCAGAAACCTGTGAATGCAGAAGAGGAGGATGAACCAAGCCACTGCACGGCATGTACCACGGACAGATTGAAGAAATGGCCAACATCAAGAAATCCCACCAGTGGCTGAAAAGGGCCAGACTGAAAGACAGAAGCACTAATCATGGCAGCACAGGAACAGCCACTTAGTAGGAAGCAGGGATCTGCCACAGCAGACAGGACCCCAGGTGCAGGCTGTGCAAAGATGCTCCTGAGACAGTTCAGCACATGGGACGTACATGGGACGCCATAACCAAGTGGCTGGCATCGTGTACAGGAGCATCTGCACTGAGTGTGGGCTGGAAGTCCCGAGGTCAGAATGGAAGACATCTCCTAAGGTGGTTGAGAATGACCAAGCTAAGATCCTGTGAGACTTCAGATTCAGACAACCTGGAGATGGCTGAGCAACCAGACATCGTGTTGAGCAATCCCAAGCGTCAGCAACATCAGGAAGAAGGAACTCAAGAAGCTCGGAAGATACCAAGGGCTGACAGAGGAGCTAGAAAAGGTGTGGGGGGTAAAGACAACAGTGGTGCCAGTGATAACTGGAGCTCTGGGGAAACTGGAAGAGCAGCTCCAGCAGAGTCCAGGTACAACATCTGAGGTCTCTGTCCAGAAGAGCACAGTCCTAGGACCAGCTAAGATATGGCGCAGATTTACGATAACAGGTTTGTTCTGCTTTCAGAGAGGCTGCACAATAGCATGGCCCTGGGATAAACTCTAATAGCAGCTAATTTAGTCTCATACAAATTCATGTATGAAGTAACATTGCTTAATGGCTGATCTATTAAGTGTGAACTGATCACATCAAGTTATAGTGACTTAATCATTTGTAAAGATGATGAAAAGGAACTCTTTAACATTACTCAAGTATTTGATTTGGAACCATAAAGGGAAAAAAAACACCTTAATGGGTATTTTGGACGTTTCTGACGTAACCTCAAAATTAGACCAGTGCCTGAAAAACAATTTTTGCCTGGGGTGTCTTGCCTGAAGCTGTTTTGCTAGCTTGTGCGTAAAATGGATAATAAAAACAACAACATGCTCCCTCACCCTAGCAATGACATATTCTTGCAAACTTATTATATTTTCAAGAAACACTCCCCTGAGCAGCAAGACAGAAGAACTCCCAGCAACGACAAACCTCCTGTAAAGCTTCCTTTTGTATGTAAAATGAAAGTGCTGCCCTCTGGTGGTCAAAGGCACACACTGCAGTATGAATACCCCAATGGAACACATTCAGAACACACTCTGATACATTTCTGCAGTAATTCCTCTCTCTATAAAGGCCATAGTGTTTAGTTTTAGTTGAAACTGTTTTAAGGTGGTGTTGATTCAACTGTATGGTTATTATGGAGGCTGCAGTTTCCCCACCCAGTTCATATTTTCTTCTTGGAATTGATGCACATGCTGCACAGTAGGCCAACTGATGACACACCTGATTCCCCTGCTGCTGCTTTCATGCTACTTCCAAGAAGGCAAATTTCCTATGCAAATCCCACCATAGATTATACAAAGTGCAAAGAGTGGGTGTGAAATCCTCTAGAGCAAACTGTGCCACTTCAGAATTACAGCATCAAGACTTTGGCAGGAAGTGTAACCTTGTGGGGTTTCCCTCCGTTCAGGGGCCCGGCCCTTCCTCTGTGTCACGGACCTAGCTCTTATCTGCAGGGAATGGAGCTACAGGGGAGAACAAGAAAACAATGCCATCCTGATAGTCTGTGGGTGGTTCCTGCTTTTATGCCACTAATGTCTGTTGGTGTTGGCAAAGGCAGAGAGACATTTTCAAAGGGATTAAGTAATTGTAGATATACACACAAGCGTGCTCAGGCTCCTTCATACACATTAGGCAAAGGTCAAAGCCGGTGTGTCCTGAGCAGCCATGAATGCAAATAAAATGTTTTCAGGATAGTTTGTCATCTCAGTTCCTTCACAGCAGACCCTGGTGCTTGGTAAGGCGTTGGTGACTTGCTGTCCTGCCGTAGGGACGCAGCCTGCTCTGACACAGACGGGATGACTGGTTGGTGAGCCGTCATGTGGTCCACAGGGTCGCTCAGCTGATCCCGGTCGATGATGTTGGCGGTCTCAGAGTCCAGCTCGCGAACTTTTTCACGGTAGAACCTCTGTCTCAAGCGTTTCATCTGGGGCAGCTCGCAGCACGTCTCCAGCACCACCAGGACGAAGACCAAGCCCAGCAGCAAGTAGACTGGGAGGGCAAACACACACACGCCATAATGAAACAAAGACCAGTGCAGTGTGACTAATAACATCAAATCAGGGTTTGGTGAATAAACAGAGGGTGTGTTCGCTAAGAGTCAGGCTTTGTTAAACCTTGCCTATCAGGAAAGCTAATGAGGTGAATGGAGGAAAACATAATGATCCTGTAATGAACATATTAAAACTATATTCAGACTTTGGGGGTTTTATGTTTTAAAGAAATAGTTAAAGGATCACGTGGTCCTCTATGGCAGTGGTTCTGTTGGATGGATTGTCATGAGATTGTGGTGATCTACTGACTTTACATCTAGCGCCATCATCAGGTCAAAATTTCAATCACTCCAGTATTTTGGTTTATGACCAAACTCCTGCAAAACCAACTACGCTCCATCAGCCTCAGCTGTACTCTGTGTTCAATGCTAATTAGCACATAGTTGTCTGTTTCTATGTGTCAGCCCTGTCATAGTCTGGCCCCCTTTCAGGGTGTACCCCGCCTCTCGCCCATTGACAGCTGGGATAGGCTCCAGTCCCCCTGCGACCCCTAACAGGATAAGCGGTTACAAAGAATGAATGTTATCGGAGTGTGTTAGCGTGGTAACGTTAGCATTTAGCTCACAGCTCTGCTTTGCCTCACTATGTTAAGAGAACACTGATTTATTGTCAATTTTCATACCATTGTATATGGTTTCACAGTATGTTGCTGCAGCTCTACTGGGTAGCCTTTTATATTTCAAGGACTTTATGTAGAACCCACCTAGGGTAGCACTGAAAATAGTCACTACATTACCCATAGATCTCTCTCCCACAGATCATGGTTTTAGTCAAACAGATTAGTCTGGGGCAGAGGGAACCAGCAGCCTTGNCACCTGAGTGTGATTGCTGTGTTCACACCTGCCCAAATGAACTGCACTTAGGGGGCAAACAAACATGAGTTCGACTGAACCAACAAAACAGGGCAGGCGTAAAAACACCCTAACGATGCTAACAATATGAGCAGTGCTAACAATAGCAACAGTGCTGACAGAGCCAATAACAGAAGGGGGGGGGCACTTCATTTTGTGACAATGGCATCAATATCAGCAGTATGAGTGCAATGCAGAGCAGCAGCAATTAGCTAGCCAGATACACAAACAGGTCTCACTTGCACTAACATGCACGTGCAGCCAGTTTGTCTACAACAACAAACAACCAATAAGAGAAGCTCGGATTACAACACACAGAGAGAGTGTGACATTCTCTGGCCATTGCTCCTTAATAGAGTGCAGTAGGAATGAGTGCTAAAACCCAGAAGTAAGTTAGCATTTTAGCCTAGCCTTCCCGGTTTCCTTGCCTTGAGGTGAATGTGTTTTGTGGTTAGATGCCTGAAGCTTGGTTAAGACAAGCTTAAGAGACTTTCACATTTGTTCTAAGACATAAAATATGTCGGTAAACATCCCACTCGTGAATTTTGAAGGCTTTACATGTCTTAAAAAAAGTTGTTGCCAGCAGGTGACTTGATGAGACTAAGACGTTTTTTAGCTTTACAGCCTCGTTGTGGTGGTGACAATAAAGTCATGTGACAGTGATTTAGTCTGTTGATAGCCTATTCTTAGTTTATGACTTATGGGGATTCCATTTATGCTCCAAAAATAATTTGAGTCTTTGCACAGAAAATCTGGCACACTGCTCTTGCTCAGTTTCACAATTAATTAGTAACACTAACGTGTCGGTCCTCCTGGACCTTCGTCAAAAGTGTTCTCATGTGAGACTCGTGATATTTTCCAACTCAGCTGCATCTGAGACATGTGTGAATACCTTTCTTCAGACGAATTGTTCCAAAACTAATAAAACTGATGTTCATTTGTAAGGATTATCTTGCCGAAAAAAATGTGCATCATCAAGTTTTGTTTGCCCCAGAGTTTATTTTCTACAATAAACCATAATCCAATGAAGAAATTCCATTTAGTTTTTGTCAGGGGTGATGTTAACTTGCGGGTTGACCTATAAATAAACGTCACCCTTGCAGCCCTCTATATATTTACGTAGCAAATACTTGTTTGCTACTGTACCATAGTAATGTTGTGAATGTTGTACACAGAACCTTTAACTCTTTGACACTGCTAGACCTGCTGGCGGGACCATCAGTACAAATAAGCATGTCGTACAGTAAAGCTTGAATGCACACAATTCTATTTTTAGATTCTCATCAAAATGTCAAAGTTCTGAAATAGGTCACACTGAATTATGTCTATAATTTCCTATGTTTTGTGCCGTTGCAGTCATAGAAACCACATGGTGTAGAGTTCATTCAATGCAACATACTTGTAGTGTCATGAACTTTGTGAACACTATGTAGAAACCAGTGTGCAGGAAATGCAACACTAATATAATCTGTTATCATTTATTACGGTAGATAAACATTTCCTGAAGTGGAAACACTCTGGTGTTGTAAGAGATGCGCTGACATAATCTTGATTATGTGGGCTTTCATATCAACGTTACGTGTTTGTGTGTGTTGCCTAACAGAGCAGACGATGTCGATCATCCAACACATGTAGAATAAGCAAACTTTAACTAAGACTTTGCCCTGGTATCCCTGCACAAAAATTATATTCAACACCGTCTCACAGGATTATATCGTCATATCTTTTTAAACATGTATCTGTAATGCCCTCCTATACAAGATCACAATAGTAACCATGAGGAGAGAATGGTTCTTATTCACTTTCCCAGACTTTTAAGTCACAAACCTGTTCCACTGACCTGCTGCCCTCATTTGCTTAAATGGGATTAAAGCATATTTAGTCACATGCGTATTTTATGCATGTGCACACAGACCTGCAGTTAACGTAGCAAGGAAACTGACACACACACTACACATATGCAAAAGAGCTTTGTTGAGCGAGCCAGACATGTAAGTGTGATTTTTGGAGCAAACTCGCCACTCCATTCACACCAGTACGCCCGCTTCCTGTTAGAGGATATTAAAAAACGAGGTCTTTATTTCATCTAGTCATATTTTGTTCTTCAAACTGACAAATGTAGTGCGGCGACCCTTGGACCAAAGTGACACAGTCCATGCTTTAAGGCAATTTACCCGAGTGTCAAGTAAAATGGAAATCAGGCGGCACTGGTCAAGCTGTCACTCTGCATTTTTAACAAGGTTGCCAGGTGTGTACCAGTCAGGACTCTGGGGTGAAGTTGGTCATGTGGAAAAATACTTAAACTGCCCATTTATTCCCTCGCTCCTTTTCATTTTGGTTATTTACATGTGCTGTGTTTGAGCAGAGGTGGCAAACCAAAGCACAAACACTCATTTATAGTTAATTCTAAAGGCTGCAGCTCCAAGATAATCTCACGCTTCGGGGGTGAAGATAGAATAATATTTTGCATCCATCCAACACCTCCAGCTGACGAAGCTCATTAGGAGGTGAAGGCAGGACAGCTTGGCCTACTTCGTCTGTGTTCCCTCCACCTACATTGCGTTAGTCCGCATGGAAGTGTCAAGGAAAACTGAGCATTGCCTCCGACAGACCCCAAAACAACTCCTAACTGGCGTCACATCCAGCCTAAATGCCAAAACAATCAGACGGCTTGTAATTCCCTCTGGGTTGGTAAAACAAGCAGCCCTCCCTGCTATGCAGAGGCTAGCCATGCTCTGTTTATTTACCTGCTTTCTAACGTGCATGCCAGCTTGTTAATTGGGTTTAGGGGTCAATAAAGGGATAATAGTTTTACTTGAATTGAAACCAAAGAAAGAGTCATGGTGCTCTGATTTTAATTAGGGGATTTAAAGCAAAACAAAAAGAGAAATGAATGTTAGATTAATATTTTATGATTGTTACAAGCTCTTGCGGTGAATGGATTAGCATATTTTCTTTATGATAAATGATGATCTTATGCATTCCTCGTTTTCTGGGTTATTGCAATATGAAATTGTTTGAAAAAATAGCTTCATGTTGACCCTGTGATTACATAATAGAAGCAATTAGCATTACCAATTAGCATCTCCATGCCTGAGAGGCTGCTATTGCCCTCTCCAGAGAGACGGGCAAACACTAAAACAACACAGGGTAATTATCCTCCATTAGTGCATTTGTTTTCACCACACGAAACGAGAGCAGATGGAAAAAAAATTACCAATGCACCAACGCTGTTAAACTGCAACTGCTGTTCAAGGCTTGCTGAGCAATGATGGTTATAACCCAAGAGGAATCTTAGATAAATTTGTGGCTGATGGTTTGTGACTAGACGTGTGTGCTGTGCTACTGGAGGATCAAATTAAGACATGTACACAGTCAGACAGAGAAGCGTGTGCTCTGCAAAGTTGGGGTGTGTTCAGTTAAATACACAATAATTCACTTTTAAATGATAGTTCAAGAATTTGTTTTTAGTATCTGTAAAGTCTCATTTCTTAATCTGCAAAAGACTAATTCTTTGACAGTCAGACTAACAAAACGATGTTATTTATTTTGCTGATTTATCCTCAGTTATATAAATATCCTTATCTTTTAATCAAAACTGAAAATGGTTTGAAAACTGAGGTACATTGTATTAATATTGAATCTTTTCTGCTTGTAGGCATATTTTTGAACTGTGGATTGAGCCAGGCTAAGTGTTTCTTTATACTAAGCTGTAGCTTTATATTGAACCGGCAGATATGAGCGGTATCCGTCCTCTTATTGAACTCTCCAGAGAGCAACCAAGTTTATTTCCCGTAGGGGTGCCCCAGACTAAGAATTTTCCTAGTTGACCAATAGTCTTCATTTAGGACCATTAGTCGACTAGTCGCCTGCATGTTCATGATATTAATTTAACTATTAAATGATATATTTTGGGTGGGGCAACACAATGGTTTGAGTTGAAGGTGTGAGAAAGAATAGTATCAGTAACATTGTTAACACTGTGCTACATTACAGAGAAATACAAAACCGTACTAATGAANTCAATACGACTACAAACCCTGTCGGGGACATTAAACGTCATCACCCCCGAACAGGCGAGAGTGCTGGCAGTCTGCCATTACAGCTTCTTATTTAGCTTAAACAGTCCGATTTCCCCATTATACAATGTTTTAAAATAAAGCGGCCAAAATCAGTTGAAAGGTTAGTGGCGGTGACGTAAAGTCATACGACCGTGGAGTAGTCATGTAGTCCGTTAAAGCCTAACGTTAGCTTTTTACTTCTGGCGCTCGCATTTAAGCTTCAAATGAGGTATGAAAGGTGTTCATATGTGAAGATTATCTCGCTGAACAAAACCTGTAAGTATCATAAACTTGTGTTAGCCACAGAACTTATTTTCTGACATAATCCAAAACACAATGCAAAAATCACATTCACTTTCTCTTCCGGGAACTAGCGCGATGCTAAACTTCCGGGTTTTGACGTCAGCCCTGGCACACTCTATATCTGAACGTAAAAAGCTGCAGTAAGAGAATTTTGGGGTACTTTTATAGTACTTTTCTATGAAAAATGACTCAAACCGATTAGTCGACTACTAAAATAGTCACCGATTATTTTAATAGTCAATTAGTCATCGATTAGTTGACTAATCGTGGCAGCCCTAGTTAAAACCTTAAGGATATAGACAGAAATAAAACTAAAGTTTGGTCTATTTAAGTGATACTGAAGTGAAGATTTCTGGGTCAGGGTATGAGAAAAAATGTAAATGTAAAATATCATACATTTTAAAAACACTACAGGTGAACAGTGTAAAAGTTTAAACATTTAGATATCACCATGAAACTTCTTGTATTACAGGTTTTTAAAATGTTATGTTTAAATATGCAAATACAGCATTATCTAACTAAATACACACGTTTTGCATACATTTCCAGAGCAGAAATCTGAACTTAAATAAAAGTTGTATAATAATGGTAAATAAAATATATTTAATTAATGTTCAACTAAAGCATGACTCGTAATGCTGTGTCATGACTTCCTGTTGCTCATCATTAACAAATGATTACGTCACTATGACTTGATGTGAGCAGCCCACACTTATTAGATCATCAACTACGGAATGTTAATTCACAGTTACTTACATTAAATGATACACAACCATGTCAGCTGGATTACACTTATACTGAAGTTTATTTCAGAGCAGTGCATTTGCTCATCCTCTCTTAAAGCAGAACAGTACTTTTGTGTTACTTCATTTACAACCTATGGGGGGTAGAGCTTCAATCCACCCGTTAGGTTGCATATATGTATAAAGGGAGGAGATAGAGGCCACTGATATCAAGACAAGGAAGCTTCTCACAATGCATTGAGGGTTTCATCCCAAGTCAAGCACCCTGAGACACCTGTACACTAAGCGAAACGAGGGAGGCTGAGGACTGGTGAGCATCAGAGCCACTGTCCAGGACGAAACAACCAAGATCCAGGAATACATCAGGAAGATGGCCCCCAGAGATGAGCTGCTGAGTGAACGCCTCAGGCAGCAGAAACCTGTGAATGCAGAAGAGGAGGATGAACCAAGCCACTGCACGGCATGTACCACGGACAGATTGAAGAAATGGCCAACATCAAGAAATCCCACCAGTGGCTGAAAAGGGCCAGACTGAAAGACAGAAGCACTAATCATGGCAGCACAGGAACAGCCACTTAGTAGGAAGCAGGGATCTGCCACAGCAGACAGGACCCCAGGTGCAGGCTGTGCAAAGATGCTCCTGAGACAGTTCAGCACATGGGACGTACATGGGACGCCATAACCAAGTGGCTGGCATCGTGTACAGGAGCATCTGCACTGAGTGTGGGCTGGAAGTCCCGAGGTCAGAATGGAAGACATCTCCTAAGGTGGTTGAGAATGACCAAGCTAAGATCCTGTGAGACTTCAGATTCAGACAACCTGGAGATGGCTGAGCAACCAGACATCGTGTTGAGCAATCCCAAGCGTCAGCAACATCAGGAAGAAGGAACTCAAGAAGCTCGGAAGATACCAAGGGCTGACAGAGGAGCTAGAAAAGGTGTGGGGGGTAAAGACAACAGTGGTGCCAGTGATAACTGGAGCTCTGGGGAAACTGGAAGAGCAGCTCCAGCAGAGTCCAGGTACAACATCTGAGGTCTCTGTCCAGAAGAGCACAGTCCTAGGACCAGCTAAGATATGGCGCAGATTTACGATAACAGGTTTGTTCTGCTTTCAGAGAGGCTGCACAATAGCATGGCCCTGGGATAAACTCTAATAGCAGCTAATTTAGTCTCATACAAATTCATGTATGAAGTAACATTGCTTAATGGCTGATCTATTAAGTGTGAACTGATCACATCAAGTTATAGTGACTTAATCATTTGTAAAGATGATGAAAAGGAACTCTTTAACATTACTCAAGTATTTGATTTGGAACCATAAAGGGAAAAAAAACACCTTAATGGGTATTTTGGACGTTTCTGACGTAACCTCAAAATTAGACCAGTGCCTGAAAAACAATTTTTGCCTGGGGTGTCTTGCCTGAAGCTGTTTTGCTAGCTTGTGCGTAAAATGGATAATAAAAACAACAACATGCTCCCTCACCCTAGCAATGACATATTCTTGCAAACTTATTATATTTTCAAGAAACACTCCCCTGAGCAGCAAGACAGAAGAACTCCCAGCAACGACAAACCTCCTGTAAAGCTTCCTTTTGTATGTAAAATGAAAGTGCTGCCCTCTGGTGGTCAAAGGCACACACTGCAGTATGAATACCCCAATGGAACACATTCAGAACACACTCTGATACATTTCTGCAGTAATTCCTCTCTCTATAAAGGCCATAGTGTTTAGTTTTAGTTGAAACTGTTTTAAGGTGGTGTTGATTCAACTGTATGGTTATTATGGAGGCTGCAGTTTCCCCACCCAGTTCATATTTTCTTCTTGGAATTGATGCACATGCTGCACAGTAGGCCAACTGATGACACACCTGATTCCCCTGCTGCTGCTTTCATGCTACTTCCAAGAAGGCAAATTTCCTATGCAAATCCCACCATAGATTATACAAAGTGCAAAGAGTGGGTGTGAAATCCTCTAGAGCAAACTGTGCCACTTCAGAATTACAGCATCAAGACTTTGGCAGGAAGTGTAACCTTGTGGGGTTTCCCTCCGTTCAGGGGCCCGGCCCTTCCTCTGTGTCACGGACCTAGCTCTTATCTGCAGGGAATGGAGCTACAGGGGAGAACAAGAAAACAATGCCATCCTGATAGTCTGTGGGTGGTTCCTGCTTTTATGCCACTAATGTCTGTTGGTGTTGGCAAAGGCAGAGAGACATTTTCAAAGGGATTAAGTAATTGTAGATATACACACAAGCGTGCTCAGGCTCCTTCATACACATTAGGCAAAGGTCAAAGCCGGTGTGTCCTGAGCAGCCATGAATGCAAATAAAATGTTTTCAGGATAGTTTGTCATCTCAGTTCCTTCACAGCAGACCCTGGTGCTTGGTAAGGCGTTGGTGACTTGCTGTCCTGCCGTAGGGACGCAGCCTGCTCTGACACAGACGGGATGACTGGTTGGTGAGCCGTCATGTGGTCCACAGGGTCGCTCAGCTGATCCCGGTCGATGATGTTGGCGGTCTCAGAGTCCAGCTCGCGAACTTTTTCACGGTAGAACCTCTGTCTCAAGCGTTTCATCTGGGGCAGCTCGCAGCACGTCTCCAGCACCACCAGGACGAAGACCAAGCCCAGCAGCAAGTAGACTGGGAGGGCAAACACACACACGCCATAATGAAACAAAGACCAGTGCAGTGTGACTAATAACATCAAATCAGGGTTTGGTGAATAAACAGAGGGTGTGTTCGCTAAGAGTCAGGCTTTGTTAAACCTTGCCTATCAGGAAAGCTAATGAGGTGAATGGAGGAAAACATAATGATCCTGTAATGAACATATTAAAACTATATTCAGACTTTGGGGGTTTTATGTTTTAAAGAAATAGTTAAAGGATCACGTGGTCCTCTATGGCAGTGGTTCTGTTGGATGGATTGTCATGAGATTGTGGTGATCTACTGACTTTACATCTAGCGCCATCATCAGGTCAAAATTTCAATCACTCCAGTATTTTGGTTTATGACCAAACTCCTGCAAAACCAACTACGCTCCATCAGCCTCAGCTGTACTCTGTGTTCAATGCTAATTAGCACATAGTTGTCTGTTTCTATGTGTCAGCCCTGTCATAGTCTGGCCCCCTTTCAGGGTGTACCCCGCCTCTCGCCCATTGACAGCTGGGATAGGCTCCAGTCCCCCTGCGACCCCTAACAGGATAAGCGGTTACAAAGAATGAATGTTATCGGAGTGTGTTAGCGTGGTAACGTTAGCATTTAGCTCACAGCTCTGCTTTGCCTCACTATGTTAAGAGAACACTGATTTATTGTCAATTTTCATACCATTGTATATGGTTTCACAGTATGTTGCTGCAGCTCTACTGGGTAGCCTTTTATATTTCAAGGACTTTATGTAGAACCCACCTAGGGTAGCACTGAAAATAGTCACTACATTACCCATAGATCTCTCTCCCACAGATCATGGTTTTAGTCAAACAGATTAGTCTGGGGCAGAGGGAACCAGCAGCCTTGGGAATTAATGAGGCTACCAAAATGTTGGGGCTGTACAAGCCATAACACTCTTGGTCCACAATGATGTAGGCCTAAATCACTTTTACTACCAGCCTTTACTATTTTAATGGTGCAGTAGGGTTGGGTTGGGAACCAAAACTCTGTTCCATATTGGAACCCAATACAAAATGCTTGGTACCCATTAAAAAAACAAAAAGACAAGAGTTTCAGCAAACATGTATTATTGTATGGCATTAAATGACGGTAAAGATATCAACTGTGGCAGAACACAGGTAAAATGAATTAATTCAACCTGGTCTCACTCCGAAGTCGTCGAAATCCGGCGCTTGGGCAGTAACTCACAGCATCAGACACTGACGAAAAAACTCTGTGGCGTCAGTTGGAATAGCGGCGGGACCAGAACAATTGTCAAGGTGGCTAAAGTCTGAGTAGAGCGGGCGGTAGGAGTGTATGGGTCCAACAAACACTTTATGACTTTAACCTGGGAGAGCGATTTTTGCATCTTGTAAGATTATAAAGCCAGACCCTGTTCATTTTTCCTAAACCTAACCATGTATTTTTGTTGTTGAAGGATAAAAACGGAAATATACGGTGTTGTACTGACGTAGTGCGTTTATTCTTAAAGAGACTGTCTGTAAATGTTAAATTTCCGGGCCCATGTCATTGGTCCGACAGCCCATTAGTCCGACAGTCTGCGGTGCTGAACGGCTCCCGGCGGGCGTATTTCTATCTTGATGGTGCGCCGCGACCGGCTCTGGGTCAGCTGGGAAAGGCTTGAGGCGAAGCAGGCTCACGGCTTATGTGTTTGTCACTTTCTTTTTCATTTTAACCCACATGATCATTTAACCCATGATCTTTTCCTAACCCTAACCAAGTGGTTTTTGTGCCTAAACCTAAACCACAAACCTAAACCAGACCTTAACCACAGGGCATCATGATGATTTTGGAACAACGGGACTTCGGAACAATGGGTTTAATATGGTCGGACCAATGGGCAGTTCCCAAATTTCCTGCAAAAACCAAAGAGTATTTTGTAAGAAGTCAATGCATGTAACAGGCAGAACTTGACACGGTGTCCCAGAACGTCAACAACCAACACAACCAGGGTACCTTACACGTCATATGTGGACGAGCAAAGCCCATGACCAAACGTCGATATGTGACGAGGTTGAAGTGAGAATGTGCTGATTAATTAAGGAGATTCCTGATAAGTCTACATTTAACAACACTATTTGAAACATGGGTAAGCGTTTGAATATTTAAGGTTGAGGATCTTTTAACGTACTTTCAACAATCATTGAAGAACTCTTTCATCTAAAAAAGGTTTTTCAGATGAAAAGGATTCTTAATGGAAAGCTTAGTCTCACAAAGAACCCTTGAAGAACATTTTCCTCATAAAAAGGATTTTTTAGAAGCAGATGGTTTTTTGTACAGCATCGGCCCCTAAGGAAGAACCCTTTGGGAGCCTTTATTTCTAAGAGCGTAGCATGGCTGTAGACGCTGTTGTTGTTTTTTCCCATGAAATACTGGATATGATTTTTCAGTGCCTCTAAAAATAAATCAGTAGAAACTTGGCAAGAAAAGTCACTTTTTGGCAGAACGGCTTACGACTGAATTCACAGACTTGTTTCGTATTGAAACAATGATGTGCGATTAAAAAATGCTTGATCTATTAAAACAATGTCTAAAATGATGCGTTAATGGCTTTCTATTTTTGGAGATAAAATACTTCCATCTGATGGCAGCACATTCAGCCACCTCCTCACCTGTGATGGCCAGCCTGTAGAGGTGTGGGTGTGGGTTTTCCTCTTTACTGTGGGTCTTTCCGGGGACATAATCCCCGAGGCCAATGGTCGTCAGACTGATGAAACAGAAATACAGAGACTCCAAAAAGTCCCACTCCTTCTCCAGGCTGACAAAGATCCACGCGGGGATGATGAGGAAGAGCAGGGTCATGATGAGGGTCAGGCAGATGGCATGTATGGTGGCTAGCTTCGATTTAGACATGGCCCATCGCCGGTGGAAATAGGCCACTGGACGCCGAGTCACCACAACCATGATCCTCTGCACCACAACAGTGAGGAAGAAGAGGGTGACGGGGATGCCGAACAGGGAGTAGAAGATACAGAAGGCCTTCCCTTCGTCTGAGAGAGGGACAGAGTGGCCATAACCTGGAAACACAATCAAACATGCAGCATAGCTTTAATCACAGACCCTGTAAAGCTCATCACACATAGCAATAACTAGACAGAATGAAGAAAGATGAAAGCGCATTCAACATATCTTCTTGTGAAAGACAAGTTTCATCCCATACTGACTAAATCTGAAATCTTAAAATAAAGGCGGTGGGTTTTAATTTGCTCCTTTTACCAGAACTAAAGATTAAACTGGAGCTTCAAGGGCATCAATACTCATCGAAACCCACAACAATTTCCCACCAACATCTCTAAATCTGCCTCTGATTACTGAATAACAAGTGGTGCAGCGGCTAAAGTCTGATAAGATCTTAGCATAGTCAATGTGAACTTTTAAATACCCTGAAATGTTACCAGACCATATACATTTAGTCCTTGACTTTCCCCTGATGTCATGCGATGACTTTTAGAGAACCTTTTTCTCGTTGCACGCTTTTTATGATCAGTCACGGGGGAATTACTGAACAGGTGCAGAGGCCCAAAGTGTCAGAGGTGCCCCCGGCTTTCACCTACAAAATGTCACTTGAAGAGACATGCACTGACCAGGGAGAGACCCAAAATGATATCAAAGAGACGCAAAACAACTATAAAAAGACTAAAAAAAATACCAAGACACACAAAATAGCTACAAAGACACAAATAGCAACTACAAACAGACACAAAACAACTTAATAGAGATGCAAAGCAACTAAAAAGATAAACAAAGTGACCACAAACATAAAATGACTACAAAGAGATGCAAAACATCTACAAACAGAGACAAAATAAAACAAAGTGACACAAAATGACAACAAAGAGACAAAAAAATCACTACAAAGAGACAGAAAATGACTAAAAGGGATGCAAAACAGCTACAAAGTGACACAAAATGACTAAAGAGATGCAAAACAACTGCAAAAAGATACAAAGCAACCATAGGGAGACACATAATAACCAGAAAGAGACACAACATGACTACAAAAAGATGTGAAACAAGTGCAGAGGGACACAAAAATAAACAAAGAGACACAAAATGACTACAAGGAAACTTAAAATGACTATGCAACAACTGCAAAGAGTCATGTAACAACTACAAGGAGAAAAAATAAAATAAAGAGACACAAAATGACTACAAAGAGATACAAAACAACTGCAAATAGTCACAAATATAAAACAAAGTGACATATAATGACCACAAAGAAACTTAAAATGACCACAAGGAGATAAAAAACAGCTGCGAAGAGACACAAAATATTTACAAAGACAGACAAAATAGCTGCAAAGAGACATAGAATGAATGCAAAGAGATGCAAAATGACCACAGAGGGACACAAAATGACTAAAAGAGATGCAAAACAGCTGCAAAGAGACACAAAGCAACCATAAGGAGACACAAAACAACCACAAAGAGACACAATATGACTACAAAGAGATGCAAATCAGCCACAAAGAGACAAAGCAACTACAAAGCGAGATAAAATGACCACAAAGAGACAGAAAATCACTACAAAGAGACAGGAAATGACTACAAAGGGATGCGAAACAGCTGCAAAGAGACACAGAACAACTACAAAGAGACACAAAATGACCACAGAGGGACACAAAATGACTAAAAGGGATGAGAAACAGCTGCAAAGAGACACAAAGCAACCATAAGGAGACACAAAATAACCACAAAGAGACACAACATGACTACAAAGAGATGCAAAACAGCTGCAAAGAGACAAAGCAACTACAATGAGACATAAAATAACCACAGAGAAACTTAAAATGACTACAAAGAGATGAAAAAACAGCTGCAAAAGAGACACATAGCAACTACAAGGAGACACAAAATGACTACAAAGAGATGCGAAACAAGTGCAGAGAGACACAAAATGACCACAGAAAAACTTAAAATGACTACAACGAGATAAAACAGCTGCAAAGAGATACAAAGCAACCATAAGGACACACAAAATAACCACAAAGAGACACAACATGACTACAAAGAAATGCAAAACAGCTGCAAAGAGACAAAGCAACTATAAGGAAACACAGAATGACTGAAAAAAATGCAAAACAGCTGCAAAGAGACAAAACAACTACAAGGAGACAATAAAACAAAGAGACACAAAATGACCACAAAGAAACACAATGACTATAAGGAGATACAAATAATAGTCTGGGCTATTAATTGAAGTTTTGCGGTATTTGATTTACTTAATCCCTCACTCCTCAAATATGTGTTTGGCATCTTTTTACATGAGTTGCACATCTGACCTTCACGTACAGACTGATTCAGGTGCAGATTCTGACACTGGAAGGCTTAAGGAGGAAGTTTATCTGTGCTCACCTTAAATCTGGTATCAGCCTGTGTACATAGGAGCAGCTAGGATTCAGTGACATCACAGCTTGTTCAAAAACCAATCATGGTCTAGTGTTCAGTTTATGTAAGAGTTTGGAAATCTGAAACTCTAAGTGAACAATGGAAGGAATCTTTTGTCTTTTGTTCTGCAGTTTAACTTTTGGAACGAACAAAGCATATAAGTTAAAAGAAGCTTATGAAACTTGTTCTGCTAGAAAAAACATGTAAGACATAATTATTGTTTACAGCAGAGTATTTTCATGTCTGGAGGCCATAAAAGACACTGGTTACAACACAGGAGTCTAACAGTTTCAACAACTGTCCAATTGGACCTCACCTGTGGTGGTCAGCACGGTGCTGGTGAAGAACAGGGAGGACACAAAGTCCCAGTTTCGGTCGGTGTCATTACCCAGCACGGACACTCCATAGTTATTGGCCTCCAGCGCGCGGATAAGCAGCTCCTCCAGGCGCGCGTCGGACACACAGGTGTTGTTGCTCAGGAAGTCCTGCCGAGCCGCCTTCAGCTCCTGGCGGAGCTCCTGCTCGTAGGGCAGCTCGATGGCGGAGAAGATCCCGGCGCCGATGATGAGGTAGAAGATGTACCCGACAACCAGCAGCGCAAAATTCAGCGCTGACCGGTGTCGCTCCACAAACCGAGCGCACCAGTCGTTGGCACAGCTGCGCACCATCACTCCAATTCCCAGGTAATGGTGTTTGATTTATAAACGAATTAGGCTTCAGTTAACTGCAGAAAATGACACCTCAGATAATTAGACAATAAACTGCTTTTAATAATGACTTCTATCTTCCCTACTCGGTGGATGGAGTCGTCTTCCTCATTCCTCATTCCTCATCTCATTGAAGCGGGTGGTGGTGACGTCACTCATTCACTGCACCAGGTGTGTGTGAGTGTGTGTGTGTCTTGCTGCACTTCCCTCTCCAACCGGTTCAACAGGTTTAGTGTTTTGAGTCATTACAAAGGATTTATTTTCCGTAAGGCGCAAGGTCAACTTTCATTGTAGACCCAGATTTACTACCGTCACAACTTTGGGATTTTTACACGGTTACACCAGACACACAATGAAAATGATGTAAGAGGCTGGAAAATAGAGCTGACGAGACAAGAACACTGAAATAAAATAATAAAAATGAACCGGTTAATTTTTTAAGGGGCATTGGCGTCATATTTCCCTGAAATATAGAGTTTCTATTTCAGGTCTTTCCAGAGGCGCAGCAGGAGGTGGCCTCTGGGGCTCCGGCCCTAAAGTTTTCTCAAAAGCCATAAATCTTTGAGGTTTTTACCTTCAACTTTGTGTCATTCAGATAATAATATGTGTGCATGATATTTACAGAGAAACCACTCTTTCCTTCCCCGATACTGCTTCCAACACCCAAACTTGCATATCGGCCAGAGTACCGATCCAATACAAGAACTAACCCTGTATGGACGTGAAGTGATCGCTATCATTGTTGTATGGCAGGCTCCAATTAAAGCACGTTCTCACTTCGGCCTCGTCACATATTGACGTTTTGGTCATGGGCTTTCCACGTCCAGATAACACGTCCAAGGTACCCTGGGTGTGTTGGTTGTTGACGTCCTGGGACGCTGTGTCAAGTTCTGCCTGTTACATGCATTGTCTTCTTTCAAGATACACTTCAGTTTTCACAGGAAATTTAACATTAACATACATTCTCTTTCAAAATAAATGCACTACGTCAGAACAACAGCGCAAATTGACTTTTTTTCTTTCCTGCAACAACTAACGCCCATGGTTGGGTTTAGGAAAAAAGAACTGGGCTTGGCTTTAGAGTCTTACAGGACACAAACACTGCTCTCATGGGTGAAAGTCGGTGTTTGTTGGACCGATCCTCCCCCACTCTCAACCCACCCTACTCGGACATAAGCCGCCTTAATTTTTGTTCTTGTCTCACCATGTGTCCCCCTGAAGCTGCCAAGCACTGTTAAACATAACAGCAACCAGCTACGTATCATGCCAACATTAAAGGACGCCTTTCCCATCAGTGTCTGACGACGCAAGTCACTGCCCAAGTGTCGGATTTCAATGACTTCAGAGTGAGACCGGGTTGTGTAATAAATTCCTCTTTGCTGCTCTAAAACAGTAGTTGCCGACAGCAACAAAGCTTGTATGTTCTGCGCACACATAAAAGGAAATACCCATCCATACCAGCAGATGGTCTTAGTCATTATAAAGGGGAAACCGGAAGACCGTCTTGATGCTCGTTAAGCAGGATTTATACTTGTGCGTCAGCTCTACGCAGACCCTACACTGTAGCCTACGCACATGGTCTATGCCAGTGAGAGCATTTATATTTGTGCGGTGGTGTGTCTGTGTCACTCTGCAGTTACTTCTCCAAAACACTAGATGGCTGTAGAGGTTTCTGTTAAGTGCTGCCAAGTTTAGTTGATTCCAAAACAACCAAAACACATTTTAAACATGGCTTAATAGAGACAATTTCAAACACAAGTACACAAAGCATTTGTTTTTTGCTGGACACATTTTCCCCACAAATACAACATGCTAATGTTATTAGCACCAGCCTTTGGCATTTTACATTGTATAAATTAGCCTAGCAGCTAGCAGACTTTTCCTCTTCTCATATAAAAGCAGGGACGAAAGCAACATTTAAAGGTAACGGTACATAATTCAGCGCCATTACAACTCACAAGATTCACCAACAAAATAACTGTCTTATACTTATTTTTTTATGCAAAAAGGATAGAAAATGCTGTTTTTAGTTTTCCTGCTTTTCTGTTTTCTATCAAATTAAACTGAATAACTTTGGGTTTTGGATGGACAAAACATGACATTTAAAGACATCGCCTTGGATTTTGAGAAACTGGAATGGACTTTTTTCAGAATATTTTTGACAATTTATAGACCATTGCTTAGTAAATAATCATCAGATTAATTAATTATGAACATAAGCATTAGTTATTGCTCTATTGTAGAATATTCAGATACAAAATGTATACTCTATTATTTATTTCCTTGGCTACTATCATGTTTTTCCCTAAGGAGGTACAAATTTTTAGGGATTCACTTATGTCAAATGGTTTGCAAAATAATGCATATAGCTGCTGTAAATGGGGAAAAAATGCTCCCAAACCCCTAATGTGTCAGCTGAGCCCTGAATATTTACAATGTCTGGTTCCGACCATGAATATTTAATCAATAATTTAGACTTATTAGTTAAGAAACTGATCTGATTTTGTTACACAGTGGTATAAGAATCAGCATCAGAAATACTTAATTGATTTCTGGGGAAAAATTGTGATACATTACAGCTACTGTAATATATAATATAGAAAATTAAATTAGTATGCAAAAATGTAATTATATAAACATGTGCATTTTGCTACACTATGCGAAATATTTAAACATGAATATGTATAATATGCTTAGTTTTACACACCAGTGTGCTTAGTTTTACACACCAGTGTGTAAAACTAAACTATTTGGGTTACACACCAGTGTGTAAAACTAGTATGTAAAGTTTTAGAGATGTAAAAATATGTATGCTACAATATACAACACAATATATGACCTACATAAACCGAAATAAGAATAAGAAATATGTTCATCATATATTAAACATACATTCAGGAATTAAGTAACAATGAAAGTACTGTACTTTAATGTAATTTTGAGTTGCTTGGATTTTGCTATTTGGGTGTTTTAGGACTTATAGGGTGCTATTGTTACTTAAATAAATTTGACTTTACTGACCTCAGCTAACCTTTGTCAGGTTCTCTCCCACTCACCATGTGTAATTACCACTTTGACCAATAGAGGGTGCTGGAGACCACGTCCCTGCAACCAGCTACTGGCATCATCAGAAAAAAATAAACAACTGGGAAGAAAAGTGTTTTATTGATAAGTTAGCACCAGACATTTGCCAAGTGCTTCTCTGTTTACTCCATCATCAGTGTATCCTCCCATCTCCTCCCTTCATATCCAACATCTGACAATAAATAATTATTTACAACCATGAGCAAAAAAAAGCAAATGAAAAAAGCAACAAGAAGGCACAGCCATTAGAGATGCTGTCTGGGTCTCTTACAGTTATATACAGCGATTGTGATGTACAGCCTGAAATCAATACCGTTGCATAAAAAGCTGCTAGATAGATTTGTCTCTGTCTCTCTCTGTTGTGTTACGATTCTCTGAAATTAATGTGGATCTCCGGTGGGTTGTTGAAGAGTTTCCTAGATATCTCACCCAAAATATTCAGTTATCTGAGGAAAGAAATAAAGGAAAATAGGTCACAGATATGACAGAGACATGGGTTTTTTTAAGAGGAACTAAATTTACAAATGATGAGGTGGTGGTGTGGAATGTTGTACTTGAGTATTTCCACATCATACTGCTTTATACTACCTCTCCACTAGAATTCAGGAGGAAATATTTCTTTACTCCCCTACATTCATTTGTCAGGTGTAGTTGTAGTTACTGATTTAGACAACACAGTGTCAAAGATTAAACCAGTGGTTCCCAACCTTTTTGGCTTGTTACCTCATACGAAACATGTTCAGTTAAGGCCTCTTACCACATTTCAGATATGAGGTGCTATCACTGCCAACAAAGAGAGATTTCCCCTCTTAACTTTTCAGATGTTTTCAGTTAAATAACAGTCTGAGGCCAAAAGAGGTCGGATTAATAGTTCAGAATAAAGCAAATATCAGAGAAAAGTCCAAACATTTGGTAGTAGCCTACATTTTTTAAAACCTTGTTAGGGTTTTGAATGTAGGACTTTGGTATTTTCCAAAGTGGACTCAATTTCCCCATGTTCTTGCCCCATAGTGACTCATGGGAACAATTTTAAGCCCTGTTTCCACCGAGCAGTACGATTCAGTTCAGTTAGGTACGCTTTTTTTCTGTTTCCACAGTGAAACATTGTGGATGGTACCAATGGACCCGTTCCATACTGTCCCCATTTTTGCCATTTTCTGTGTGCAGCCTCGTTCTGTGGACGATAAACGAGGTGCAGACTTCCATCTGTGTCACTGGTAATGAGGAAATACAGTGAGTGCTGGATGGAGCAGTGAGTGACAACAACCCCGCCCACATATAAGAGCACTGTTTGCAGTGGAAACACTAGGGTCTAGGTACCATGTCTGAAGGGTTACTGTTGGTTCCAAAGGTACCATACTGAAAGTGTTTGGTGGAAACAGGGCTTTCTTTAGAGACTGGTCAAGTATTGAGGGAGAGTGCTGCAGCCAGCAGCTGTGAAACAGACTCCAATGTAGCCACTCAGGGCATGTTCGTGTCGTCAATTTACATTAACTAAAAGTGCATGTTTTTGCCACCGACAGACTCAGAGTGTCATCAGAAGTGTCTGACAACATTAAGGAAAGAATTCTAACAGACATAGACATTTTTGCTAAAGAGTAAGATCCTTTTTGTTTAACCAAAAGCAACCCTGAAATCGCTACACCAAAAGCCACCACACCCAATTTAAATAAATAGTAATTTTATCATAGTAAAACACACTTTATTCAAAGTCTGGTTTGTTTTAAATAAACCCTTAAGTCACCCAGTAAGACATGAAAACGTTGTGGCTCTATACACGCTACTACCCTCTCGCTCAATACTGGACCAATTTCAAAGACTGCTGTCTCCATTTGTTATTTAAAGACAAAAACATGGGAAAACAGAGTCCAGGTTGACAAATACAGAAGTCCCCCTTTGAATGAAGCATCTGAGCACCTCTTCCACCGCTGATCAGAAGTCAGGACCAATGTTTAGACAGGATATCTTACCTCTGCACTCGTATCTGAGGTCTGAGAAAAGGACGTGTTCCTGAGAGAAGACAAACAGTCCCAGTCTGCCTCCAGCCAGGGTGTGGTCGTACACCGCCCCCGAGTCAGATAAAATCTCCCTGCCCTCGTACACCACCACCCTGCAACACAAGAAAGCTAACAACATCATACACAGCATTTATCATGTGTTTTAACATTGATGCAGACCACCTTTTACTATACGTACCTGCAGATAACTCAATTGCGTGTTTTTTTTGTAAAGTATCTAAGTACATTGAAGTATTTCTTTTTGTATTTTTCTCCCTGCTCCATATTTGACCATTTATTCCTAAGCAAAAGGGAGGACGTGACGTCAAATGCAGCTATATTTAAAACGGTTACAGCAGAGCTTCGTAGCAGCTATCCAAAATATCAATGCATGTCTGTCCTTCACAATCAAAGAGCAGGAGCCTCTTTTCAGTCTCACATTCAATAAGCACAGTCCTCCTACAGTCATTCAGTACCCAGAATGCAACACAGCCATCACTTGCATCTTCTGAGATAGCCTTCTTTAAGATTATTTTTATCATTCAACAACTGGGCCAGGCACATCTCTTTCCCTTCAGTTTTTTTCAGCTTGAAAATCTCACTATACACTCGTGTTGTTCTCTCCATATGCACATAAACAGCACAAAGCTCAGAGAACTCACTGCCATCTTTTTTTTTTAAGTCCATTAGTGTGAAGTACAACTAAGTAAAAGTAGATGTGGCAGGTTGAGGAGAACCGGGTACAACGAAGAAAGTGAATTACGCTGTTATCATAAAATAACTCTCAGAGATTGATGATATCCTCGAGTGCAAGCACATCTGTGGGTGATATTTTCTTCAAAAAAGTGCCACTGAATGTGATTCTCACAATTTAAGAAGTTATTCAGCAGATTGCTGCTCCACTAAAACCCACATTAGCTGATCTGGTACTGACTGAGCCCCAAATGTTTGATTTAGAGAACCAAACCAGTGCTTCTGGCATGTTTTATCCCATTTCATATAAATCACATTTACTTTACAGAGGTGTGCTTTAGTGTTTGAGTTTAGTCAGTTACAGTAAAGCCTGCTTTAAATTGGTGATCTCAAGTGTTTACTGTTGCTGATGTAACACAGCTTCACATTAGTAGCTGTAAAAGCAGACCTGCACTGAATTTGTTCATATCAGTAATGTTACTTTCACAGAAATTATGTTCACAAGTCTTAAAACAAAACAGGAAAATTATGTGTAAATGATTTATAGTAAATGGGCTAAAACACTATTCCTCCAAAAGCCAAGCCAATAATATCAAATATGTTTTAAAGCTGGGGTAGACAGTTTGTGGAAAAGGATTAAAAAAGTGACCCTCTGACCTAAGCCCCTCCCACCAGATGACCGAGGGCATATGCACACGCTTCATACAGTAACTCCACCTCACTCCATGTTGCTGTGGACTGCCTTGCCTGCAGGACAGCAGACAGCAGCTCCTTTGAAAGGCAGCTGGAGTGGCTCAATTTCAGCCAGTGCAAACATTGTGTAACAGCAGCAACAGAAAGTTCCTGTGCTGATGTTTTCCTGGAATTGGGGTGTGCACTGGCTGGATTTGGGTCGCTACCACCTCTGAATAGGCATCTGTCTTCAGAATTGGTGCCCACTCTCCTCCTGGTGAGGTGGTCTGTAGCGGTGGGGAGTGAGGCAGAGGACGCACTGTGATTTTGAGGATCAAGCTAACGTTAGCAACATAAACATGAACTTGAAGCTGCAGCTGTGGCCTTTGGCTCTGGTTAGCAGAAGGCTAAGTTATTAGCAACACTTTCCCTCCATCTCTGAAACACTTTGCCGATACTGGCACATTTTTGGGGGAATTTATTTCATTATTTTGAAATACTAACTCATTATCTTTAGTAACTAACTCATTAATTTTAGATACTACCTTATTGTTTTGAGACATTAGGTCATTGACGTCATTGACAAGAATTAGCTTGCTAGCCACCCCACAGTCCCTCTACCTCACTCCACGTTGCTGTGGACTGCTTTGCCAATAGGAGTGCAGAAAGCAGCTCCTTTAGGTGGCGGGTGAGTGGCTCAATTTCAGCCAGTGCAAACCCCAGCACTGGAGTAACTTGTGTAACAGCAGCAACAGAAAGTTTGCTGGTCCTGCAGTGAGTCAGGCTGCCTTCCCCTTACACTGGGGTTTGCACTGGCTGGATGTGGGTTACTAGGCATCCATCTCTGCAGCTGTGGCCTACTCTCTTCCTAGTGAGCTGGTCTGTAGTGCTGGAGAGTGAGGAAGAGGACGCACTATGATTCAAGGATCTAGCCAGGGCCTTTGGCTCTGGTTAGCAGAAGGCTAAACTGTTAGCACAATTTTCTCTCCATCTTTGAAACGCTTCGCTGGCACATTTTTCATTTTGTTTATCGTTAGACTGTCTTCTAGACTCTCTACCTTTGTTGGACTGCTTTGCAGTGTAGGCAGTTGTTGCCAATGCTGGAATAGCAACTTTATTTGCAGGATTCTCCACCACTGAATCAGGCTTTCACCGAATGGACACGCATGTGTATCTGCATTTGTAGAACAGCCAATAGGAACAACCTCTCTCTGAAATGACCTGTGATTGGCCAAAGTCTCCCATCACAGGCTAAATTTTCTAATGCCTAAAACAGAGCCAAGATGAGGTGCAGGAGTCCAGTTTTCTCTGAGTCTACTTGAATTACAATATGGTGAAAGGTAGGGATGTCCCGATTCGTATCGGCTGCCAATATTAGCAAAAAACGTGCATCGGCATCAGATCGGACTGCATGGAAAAATGCAGATCCAGTTTTCCATGGAGTCCCATCCAGGTTTTGCAGCCAGCCCAGCGCTCTGCAATTCAAGCAGTCCATTCCAGTGATCCGCTCCAGCACTTACTATCAATCCACCAGGCCAGCATGCAGACACACAGGAAACAGCAGCACCAGGCTGGCACTGACACTACAAAAATAACTGAAAAGGAAAGGCTGTATTGTTTGTTAAATGTCAACAATGTCTTGTGGTGTTAATTTTTTTTTTTATTTATTAGGGGGCCAAAGCACAAGTGTGTGGAGTCTTGCTGCTATTTTAATTTCAATATTAGACATTTTAAAGATTTCTTATGTTGATTTATTTTCTATTTATTAAGGGGCCAAAGCAGCCAAAGCAAACCAGCTATATTTTTTATTTAATGTTAATGTTCAAGTTTAAAGTTTGTTTATTTAACCCTGTTAACAATAAACGGGTCAGTTTCTCATACCAACTGTTGTGGATCATTCTAACTAACCTGATTAAGTAGTTGTTCTTGTTAGAGTAATATTGCTTGATCAAACCTTTTCTAACATGACTGACATGACATGACTACACGCTTGGATCGGATCAGTATCGGTATCGGCCAAAACTCAAGACTGTAACCACGGTATCGGATCGGAAGCGAAAAAGCTGGATCGGGACATCCCTAATGAAAGGTACTATGAGATTTTTGACGCCCAAATAAAACTGCCTACCCCAGCTTTAACTGTAAATTAAAATGTAAAGGTTACTGCTAATGTTGAGCCATCTCCACTTGGGAGGTCCACATATCTTTAAAAGTTAGGTGATTTCCATGATCCAGCTGTGGCTTGACAGCTCAAACTGAAAATATAAATTCAGCCAAGATGCTGGATATTATGAGGTCATGAATAAATCTAGCCACTGTTAGATCCCCCAGTGATAAAAAATGACACTTCATATTATGAGAGTATTTGTACCTGATGAACCCAGTCTTGGGTCTGTGGATAAGGTGCATGCGGTAAGCTGTGTAGTCCTTCCAGCCAATTTTATTGGGATCATGCCACAATGTTCTGACCTGAAACACACACACACACACACACACACACACACATACAGATGTCAGGGTGGAGAAAGAAAATTGTGCTTTGCCAGCGTTCAAGGTTATTTTAGTGAAGGTTTATCTGTTCTAATAAAGGATTTAGTGTGATTTATGACAAGCAGAATATAAAAAGACAAAGACATAAAGTCACTGTTTCGTGCCTGGTGTCGGGTGTTTCCAGTGTGCCACAGGGCATTGCGTAGATACTCCCCGGGTCCTGTGGTGGAGTTGACCAGTTTGATCGAGACTCCCGCTGTGCCAAAGGCTTTGGTCGGCTTTTTCTCCCAGTAGGCCTGAGACACCTGCTCTCACAGAAAGACAGAATGTGGAGAGTGAAGGTTACGTTTATGTTTGTACAGTAGTACATGACTTCGTATCAAAATAATGAGATGCTTTCTCACAATAATGAGTTAGTTTATGAATTAGTATTTCAAAATAGTCAGTGTCTGGACTCAATGGGGGGATTTATCCTGCTGCCGCTCAGATGTCCCTCAATCATAAAATATCTCCCTCTGGTGTCCTGGTGTGCCTTAATCAGCACAAATAATCTATTAATCTGTACACTCATATTCTGTATTAGATATTATCTTTACTTTATTCTTCTGTTTCTCCTGATTGAAATCATTTTGAGAAGGTTTCCATTATTTTGAAACACTAACTCATTATCCTGAGTTACTAACTCATTATTTCAAGAAAGTTTCTCACTATAATGACCTCTAGTTTTTTTTTTCACACTATTGGGAATGGGCTTCCATAGATAGTAGTTATCATCAACGTTAAAGTCAGCATTCAAACCTCACCTGTTTCCACATGACAACGTAGAAGCGTTGACTGGACTGGTAGGCGAATACAATGCCTGCGTAGTCGTCATCTCGGTTGGTATTTACATAAAATGTCACACTGAAGTCCACTGCGCTGAACTTGTCATATCCTGTTTAAACAAGTAGATATTAATATCAATGTATTATACTTTTTATGGGTTGAGGGTTTTTTTTAACAGTTAACGTCACCTAAAGCGATGCCAGGGTCTGAGTTGGCCGTCTGCAGCAGCTCAGTGCCTTGGCTGCGGATCACCCAGAGAGGGTCGGACTGCGTGGTGCCTTTCGGGTCCAACAAAACAACCTGAAACTTCCTGAAGTCTGTAGACCCAATATCCTGGTTCAGCGGGCATGGATCCAGCGCATCTGGAATACTGTCATTGTCAAAGTCATCAAAGCAGGCATCTCCACTCCCGTCACCTGCAGATGGGAGGAATAAGGAGAAAGAATGCAACGATGCTATTTCCTTGAATCTTTTTCGCCAAGAAGGAAAAAAAAGAGTGTAAGAGACGATGTGTAAAAGCAGTGAGAAAGTCCCGTGTGATGGTGGATAGATTTAAGAATCTTTTATTTATGATTAATCCCACGGCTGAGAGCCGTAAACTGTTTATGTTGATGTCCAACATTAACATGACCTGGATCACTGGAAATATACTAAACTGTTTTACTGCATGACTGCAAAATCCATTTATCATAAATCCTACAAAATATCTTCCCCATGTGACAATCAGCATTTGTTCACATCTGTATCGTGACATTAGAGACACTATCAGTCCTACTGATTAATTTTCAGTAGTTAATACGGGTGTTTTTCTTTTTTTGAGGCCAACAAAAAATTTAGAAAAACAGTAGCAACACCGACCATCAGAGTCCCACTGGTCCCTGTTGGGCACAAGTCTGCAGTTGTCCCGGTCATCGGGGATACCGTCGTTGTCGTCATCATGGTCACAGGCGTCTCCCCTCCCGTCGTTGTCATGGTCAGCCTGGTTGCTATTGGCGATGTACGGACAGTTGTCTAGAGAGTTTTGGTGGCCATCCTCATCGATGTCCTCATTGTCGTCACACATGTCCCCCACTAGGTCGCTATCAGAGTCAAGCTGCAAACACACACACACACACACACACACACACACACACATACACACACACACAATATATATATATATTAAAATAGTGTTAAATCACAAGTCTCCCTGCTCTGTTTTACCTCCACCAGCACTCCCACTCCCTGCACAGACTTCCAAGTTTTCCTTTTCATGTATTGAAAAAACAATAATCCATCCACCAGATTGATTGCCACAAATAAATTGTTAGAATGGCTTTGTTGGATCCCTGTTAGAAATGTGCACCCCCAAACCAGATGTTCTGCGAGGCAACAGCGCCAGACACGTGTGCACTTTTGAGCATTTGTGTTTTTCAGGAACCTGCAGAGGGTTGTGTAGAAGGGGACAGTTGTCACACTGGTCTCCAACACCATCCAGGTCGGTGTCCCTCTGGTCAGTGTTGTAGACTAAGGGACAGTTGTCATGGTCATTCAGAATCTCTAAGAGAAAGAGACGCACACACAAACATACGCACACGCACACACAGAGCAGATGAATTGCATGTCTTGTGGCTTTTTCTCTTTTATTACACATAAAAACAAAACAATCAACATAAATCATGTTTGGACAAATGTAATTCGATCCATATTTAAAGACTAACTCAGCACTGAATCCAATTTGAATTGATCCTGGTCCCAGCCTGTAGTGCTCATTACTACAGAATTTATTCTCCTTTTTCAAGAGAAAATCAAGTAATTATGTCCTCTAGAACAATGATTCTACACCTCCTTCACGTCAAGGACTCCTAAATCAATACACATTAGGTCATGGAGCCCCATCTGAGCAGATTTTGCTTACGGACCTCAATCTGAAAATATTTTGGTTGATAGAAGTGAATTCTACAGTTGTCAGCTAGAGTTTAGAGGATAATGATGGAGGAAGTGAAACCTATGATCACGCTGCTAAAAATGTGGCCTGTCGACATTATCTGGTTTTGAAATGTGGCCCAGTTGAAATAGTAGCCTAAATGAATAGCCCTGCTGTAGCTTGTTTATTTGTTAGCTATCTAACAACACATCAAAAATAGGCTAATTGTAAGCCAGTCTTGTTCAGTGAATCAGTTTATCATGTACACTCAAAAAATATTTAGGCCTAATATTTAAGATAGTTTGCTTATAAATACATGAACCTGGTTGTTCTATATTTAAAACATATTGGGTTTATTAGTGCTATTAAATAAATCACATTAATCACATTACTTATTATACTCATTATTATTACTTGAGCTTGTTTTATTTATTCATTTCACAGATAGTTACACATCGTTTGTCCTTAAATTCATTATGAACGTGGACTTAAAATCATTGTTTTATTTTATGGCCTTGCTGCCCTCAAAAAATTGACAACACGAAAGGCCAAGTGGCCTTGCCCCTAAAATGACAAAATTCCAGGCCTGGTCATGACCCGTCAAGCTACCTAGATTCATGTTCATTTGTCATCCCTGTGTTTCCTGTTTTATTTTGGTAACCATCGTCTCGTCTCGTTTCAGATCCCACGTCTTGATTAAAGACCCTGAACTTTTATCTGAGTCTGTGAATCTGCTTTGTGAGTCGTCCTCCAATTTGTGCTTGACAAGGTCATGGCTAGGCACGAAAGAAATAACGACTGGTTCAAATACATTTTCTAAATCTGAGATGTTAGCTAAACCGTTGTGCTAAGTTTCTCTTTGATTTTAATGTGGATACATAGAACACGTTATCTCTCATGGGACCGCAAGGAAATCTAAAAGTGAAAATTTTAGTAGCGCTACCCATTTCATGATAATGGAGCTCTCTAAAAAGACTGAAATAATTGGTCATGTTCCAGGCCTGGTTTCCAGCTCCTACCATCTCCATCAATGTCAATGCTGCAGGCGTCTCCCTCTCCATTGTCATCAGTGTCTGTCTGCAGCGGGTTGCTATCAAACGGACAGTTGTCACAGCGGTCTCCGACCCCATCTCTGTCAGAATCAAACTGCCGAGGGTTGTACACCAGCGGGCAGTTGTCCTACACCGAACACACACATTAGTTCATACACACACACAGGTGAAGCTCTCTGTCATGGCATCCACAACATTACTCCATGTCTCACCCTCTCATCTATGATGTCATCATTGTCGTCATCAGGATCACAGGCGTCTCCCTGTCCGTCTTTGTCCAGGTCTTCCTGTCCAGAGTTTGGTATCATGGGGCAATTATCCTGCAGCCAATCACAGCTCAGTTTAGTGAAACCCGTCCGATCAGAACACTGCCAGCCAATCAGACGACATTTTTCATTATTATTTTACCCTTTGACAGTGATAGGTTGCATTCTGCTTGCAGGGTAATCTGTAGTTGGGCCAGCCATCCAGATCAGAGTCTTCTCCACACAGGAAGCCGTCGCCCGCGAACCCGATGGCGCACACACACTTGAACAACACCTCAGATGCCAGGCCCAGGTAGATACACTCGGCATACTTGTGGCAGGTGTGTGTGTTGTCTTTGCAAGGATTGTAAGGCTCACACACCTACAACCAAACCAAACATTTGAGGACACAAAAAGTGATTTAGTTTAATGTGTTGAGAGTAGCTCATACAAAGGAAAACGTTTATTCAACAACATTTTTTGTGTTTTTTTGTGTTGTTTCTTGGAATTTTAATTCTATATTTGTTTTACATTATGATGTAATGATTGCTTGTGTGGACCCCAGGAAGAGTAGCTGCTACCCTAGTAGCCATTAATGGGGATCCAAATGAATAAATAATTGAATTCATATTGTTTAAAATAAAGACAACAACACGTGCCTGTCTGGTTTCCAGGGCTTCCTGCAGTCCAAGGCCAAACGGCTGAGTGCCTTTATAGCGAGGAGGACAGGGCAGACAGTAGAAGCCAGGGTCTGTGTTTACACACTCTGTGACACAAACACTCTCCACTTCACACTGCAGAGATAGAGGGATTAACCATGTTCAGCATATCAAACACTAACAGTGGATACAAAGGTTTGACAGGTGAGGTGTACGGGGTCAAACTACACAACATCTACTCCTCTCGAGATGGCTACTGTCTGATTAGCTGATCACAGCGCCTTCAGTTACAGCCTGAAGGTTAAACTCTGACCAGTTATAGCTTGTACAGCCTGTGTGATGTGCAAAGGTGATGACACAGGAGAAACTTTCAGGATCTGGAGAGTGTAAAACTCATCTTTAAAGGACAGTTCACCCAAATATTAAAATACATGATTTACCTGTGGGGATATTTATCAACATAGATCAATGGTTCCCAAATGCTGTGTCATACTTGCATTTGGCCATGCCACTGTCTCTGTAATGGAGCTGTCTGTTAGTCACTCACTCTACAGCAGGAACGGCACTTCAAAGTAAAAGCTCTGTGCAGGAAATTCACTGTACTTCAAAATAAAGTGTGTATTTTACAAACTTGACATGTTCACAAGTCACTTATAGTCCACTCAAAATAGACTCAGAACCCACTTTTAGACCGTGACCCACCATTTGGGAACCACTGATCTAGACTGCATTGGTGTGAGGTGCTGAGTGCTGGAGATATTGGCCATAGAGATGTCTCGCTTATCTTGAATGTAATGGAACTAGATGTCACTCGGCTTGTGGCGCTCAGATTGTAGAAAAGAATTTAACAGCAATGTCTTTTTCAAGAAATCATGACCTGTTAACGCAAGATAATCTACTGACCTTGTTGCAAGCAGTTTCAGGAACTATTTTCTTCCTATTGAACTACATCACCAGATTTTTTTGCCACTTTGAGCACCACAAGCGAAGTGCCATCTAGTTCCATTATACGCAAGAGAAGGCAGACATCTCCAACACTCTAGATTCTCCAACAATCTAGATTTATAAATACCACGACAGGTAAGAGGAAGAATATGTGTTTTTGATTTTGGAGTGAACTGTCCCTTTAAGTGTCACCATACATGTCGAAGATGATGTCAAACATGAACATAAATGTGCTGTTATTACCTCATTTTCATCTTCACAGTGAGTGCCATTGCCTTTTAAACCCAACGGACAACGTCCACAATACCATGATCCATCGCTATGCGACGTGCACTCCACTCCAGGAAAACATGGATTTGAAAGCAAACATATGTCTGAAAACACATATGCATATAAAGGCAGTGAGTCTTTTACATAAAATGCAAATAGTCCAGGATAAATAGTGTTATTAGTGGCAACTAAATTAATTCTTCTCACCCAAAATTATCATTTGTACATCAATTACTCACCCTGTGTGGCGATTAATTTATGAAGATGACATATTGTTTTAATTGCATGCCTCTACAGCATACAACGATTCCAAAAGGAGAGAATTCTTGATAAATTGGAGTGAATGGGGGCCATGTTTAACAGCAACACTATATCAAAACATGCATTTACAAACTCATAAACCTTGAACAGTACAATCCAAGTTATCCAGGTGTAAGCTGAGTACGTCCCAAACACATGCACCTTCGCTAAACATTAAAAACATGTCTGCCTGAACAGTCTCACTCATGGACATAGCACGTATATTTGACTCTGTGTGTCTCTCAGTGTGGGTGAGTGACGGCAGCACTCCTTCTCAGAATTCATCAAGAATTTTCTCTGTTTTCGGAGTCTTTGTTTAATATGGAGGCATTCACGAAAAACATTTTCCTCACACATTGAAGGTAAAGTAATTGGTATACAAATGACCATTTTGGAGATTAAGTATTCCTTTAAGGAAATTCATACTTGAATGATTTGACAGTTCTGTCCTAAGCTTCAATAATTAAATAAAGGCAGCATAAACGCTGAAGGATATTACTTTTTAATCCTCTGTTGTTTGAAAATATGTTGCATCCAATAAAAAGGAATAAGGCTCACACGCAAATGTGAAGCTGAGCCTACTTATGGGGTAATATCTGCTCACACAGTTAAGATGCACCAATAGCCTGAGGTATGTGGACAGGTTTACCTATAGGACATGGCTGTTTGTTACATGCTTCATAGTCCACAGCGTCTCCAGCACAAGGCTTCCCACCGTGCTGAGGGGCAGGGTTCAAACACTCCCGCTGACGACTCGTAAGACCTCCACCACACGACTCCGAGCACAGTGACCATTCAGTCCAGCTCGTCCAGCCTCCAGCAACTACACACAAATACATCATTTTCCTGTGAGACATCTACATTCCACAGGGCAGCCTGCTTGTGTATTTGTGTACTCACCAGGGCAGGGTGTATTGTTGCAAGGTTGTGTCTCCCTGGCGCTGCCTGTGCACCCTCTGCCCCCCTTCTGTGGTGGAGGGTTGTTGCAGAGACGGACCCGTGTGATGTCGCCTTCTCCACATGTGGTTGTACACGTGGACCAGGGAGACCAAAGGCCCCAGTTCCCTTCAGCACGCACTAGACATGGCACAAGCACATAAAGATTGTAAAACGGTCCTTCTCTTTGTGCAGTAGCCTGGAAAAGTCTTCAACACAGACCACCACCGCGGCTCCGCACTATGTATACATTTACAGAAATACAACGTGTTTCCAATTATGATTACAGTCTCTAAAATCCATTTATCTGAGGTTCCGTGCTTTTTACTCTTTGCTGGAATATTCAATTTGTTCTCTTGGACCCGCCAATCAATCACAAAAACTAAATTAAATGAAGACATGTGACAGATTAGACGTGCTGAGTGATGTCCTACCCTTGCGGTCACATTTCATCAGCATGCAGCTGCGGGTTTGGACTGACGGGCCGGCACAGGACTGCATGATGCCATTGCAGGATCGTCCCCTCTGCTGCCCTCCACGTCCACAGGTGACAGAGCAGTGGGTCCACTCAGACCAAGGGGACCATCCATCCTCATTATCTTTATATACATACACAAACTGTTGGTATATTTGTAACCTTAACATACATTTTCGACCTTTAATTATAGCTGCAGACAAATCGAACTCACTGAGACACACAGGACAGCACTTATCATCGATAAAGGATGGATAGATGCAGGATACAGGAGGGCAAGACACCTGATGACACACCACCTTTCCATCCTACACAAAACGAGGAAGATAGACACACATAAATTCAGCATTTTTAAACAATGTTATTAGTCAAGCCATGTGACCCAGAGCCAGATGTTTTGCTAAATGCCAGTCCTTGCAGAGGAATGGTATGCTGTCATGACTCACAATAAGTCTGGCTGCTCCCTCAATCCATCCTCGCTAAAACTAATGATATTTTATAAGGAGAAACAGACTCAGAGAGGATGAAGCAAGCATGAAATATAGGAGTATACCAAAGGCAACTCTGGAGATAAATGAAACCACATTGGGTACAAGTGAAATTTACAGTAACTGGTTAGTACACTTTAAAGGAATTTTGAAAAATATGTTTATTTGAATTTTTGCAAAGAGTCAGATGAGGTGATTGAAACCATTCTCTGATCGGTCTGTTAAAGGGACAGATCCCAAAATCAAAAACACATATTTTTCCTCTTACCTATTTATGCTATTTATCAGTGTAGATTGTTTTGGTGTGAGTTGCCGAGTGTTGGAGATATTGGCTGTAGAGATGTCTGCCCTCTTTGGAATATAATGGAACTAGATGGCACTTGGCTTGTGGTGCTCAAAGCGCCAAGAAAATACTTCAGTCAGGACCACTTTAGTCAAAAAAAACTTTATTTCGATTTGCATTTCAAATTTGGAGGTATGGCTCTGTTCTGGGGCCTCTCAGCCTTTCCTAGGCCTACGCAGAAAGCCTCTTCCACGCGCGTACGTGAGAGCACACCTCTTTGCCGAGCCCAGTCTCACTCTGAAGTTGTCGAAACCTGTTGCTTGGGCAGCGACCTGTGGCATCAGAAAAAAGGCATCCTTTAACGTTGGCATGACACCCAGCCGGTTGCCGTTAAAGTTTAACAGTGCCCAGCGGCGACAGGGGGGAAATGCAGCAGGACAAGGATGAACCGAAAGCCTGACTGGGGCGAGGGGGAGGGGTGGTGGATGGGTCCAACAAACACCAACTTTCACCTGAGAGAGCAGTGTTCTCATCCCGTAAGATTCTCAAGCCAAACCTTATTCTTTTTTCCTAAGGTGTTTTTGACGTTGAAGGGGATAAAATGTCAATACGCGGTGTTGTATCAACATAGTATGTTTATTTTGAAAGAGCCTGTATGTAAAAATTAGTGTATCTTGAAAGAAGTTGATACGGTGTCCAGGAAGGTCAACAACCAAAGCATCAAGGGTACCTTGCACGTCATATATGGACATGGAAAGTCTATGACCAAACATCAATATGTGACAAGGTTGGAGTGAGAATATGTTGGTTTGCCCTTCCACATGCAAAGGAGGAAAGCCTTAAGGCAGAGAGAGCACATCTCTCTGCCCTTCCAAGTGTACACAAGGAAAGCCTTAAGGCAGAGAGAGCAAACCTCCCTGCCCTTCCATGCACCTACATGAAAAGCCTAAGGCAGGAAGAGCAGCAGCAAAGACTCCCCGGGAACAGAACAGAGCAGCATCAATGACAAACACAAATGACATTAATAAGTCAGACACAGCATGAAAAGGAGGAGCTGGGGTGGAGGTGGGTTGCAACATAGCTTGCAGAGAAAGCAGCAACAGTAGGCAGGCCAGAGCAGTTTAAATAGGGTGCCCTGAATGAGATTCGCCAATTGGTTGCATAGAAAGGAATCATGTGATCTATCAGCTGACTCCCTTCTATCATTCAGCTGCTCCATCAGTTGATTGGGCTGTTTGAGATCAGCTGATGTAGCTGGGATGTTAGCTGAGCTTGACGCTAAGCTCAATATTTGAAAAACGCACCAGCAATGTTTCTCTCCAGAAATCCTGACCTGGGTTCTCAAGATAATCCACAGACCTCGTTGTGAGCAATTTCATGTAGGAACTATTTTCTTTCTACCACACTACACCCGCCAACCGTATCACAGTGCAGACGTAAGCGTGCATTTACTGATAGCTCACCTAGCACCAGTGAGCCAATCTTGGAACCCATCAGCTATAGGTCTGATGACGATAAGCAGCCGATATTTCAGGGGATCCGGTGATGCAAGCAGATATCCGGGCCAAGACTTCCTCTCTGTGTGCTTGTTAATGTCAGTTAATCTCCATAAAGAGATATCTGCGTATGAATGCAGATAAATTAAAGGCAAAAGAAAGAAAGAAATGCTACTATAAAGCTTAAACATCATCAGATATAGCTGATGGGTTCCCAGATTGGAATTTTGGCCAATGCATTCCGCCTCTTCACATGGACTGCTTACCTGCTGATCAAACATGATTGGTCAATACTACTCGGACTGCAAATGGAAACCAGAATCCTTTTAATACCAAAATCTTGTCCCATACATATACAGCTAGTTGACATTACAGTTCAGCTAAAGAGGATTTTGTTAATGTTTACATCTCCTACTTTCACAAGCATGAGCCTCTTGTAGATGAATAGATGCATGCTTCCCTCTGCGCCGTGATACTGTTGGTAGGTGTAGTTTGGTAGAAAAAAAATAGTTCCTAGTGTTATCTAGTTCCATTAGAGAAAGCAGACATCTCTACGACCAATATCAATATCTCCAACACTCGGCAACTCACAGAAAACAGTCTAGACTGATACACAGCACTACAGGTAAGAGGAAAATATGTATGTTTGGCATCAACTGTCCCTTTAAATATGAAGCTGCAGCAAAACTTGTCATTTCTGTATTTCACTATTTGTACAGATAGAATAAAACAGATATAGTGAGCTTTAGAGGTGCCTTCAGGCAGATTTTTCCAACCTTTCAAGAGAAACAATTGTCATGCCAAACTAAGCTAACGGTCTCCTGGTTGTGATATTAGAGTAGTGTCAATCTTCTCGTTTAAATTATTTTTGGACTCTTTCGGTTTCATGATCTTAAGTCAGAGTCAGAACTTGAGACTCCATGTTGTGGCTTTCAAGTCTCAAGTCAGGTCAAGTTTTGACTCAAGTCTTTAAAGTTAAGTCTTGGATAATCCAAGTGTTTCAGTAGCCAAGTACAAATTCAGAAATGTTGTGGACTTAAATAAAATAAACTAAATATCAAAAAGAAACTTGGAATTGAGCCTCGTTCAAGTCACAAGAACTTGAGACTTTACTTGGACTTCAAAACTGCTCTAGGCTTCATTCAAAATGGAATTACTGAAGTAACTGCAGTGTAAATGATCAACCATCCACACTAGATGATGCGTGTGATAGTTAGGCTGTCTTTCCATGACAGAAGACAGACATGCATGGCACTCTCCCAGGAAACACCTCACTGCTAATATTTCAGATTATAGTTACACAACACTTTTTCACAACTAACCTTGCAAACACAGGAGGTGCAGCTGTCAACATCCCAATCCTCCCCGTGCTCATACACTCGTCCGTCCTGCATACACCACACCTCTTCGTCTCTGCCTCTGTCAAGATCATTGATATCATCGCTGTTGCCATCATTGCCATCGCCATGGCCATTGCTGCTACTGCTGCTGCTGCTGTTGCTGCTCCAGTGGCTGCTGCGCCAGTGGCTGCTGCGCCAGTTGCTGCTGCGCCAGTTGATATCATCACTGTTGCCATGATTGCCATCGCCATGGCCACTGCTGCTACTGCTACTGCTGCTGCTGCTGCTGCGCCAGTTGCTGCCGCGCCAGTTGCTGCCGCGCCAGTTGATGTCATCACTGTTGCCATGATTGCCATCGCCATGGCCACTGCTGCTACTGCTGCTGCTGCTGTTGCTGCTCCAGTGGCTGCTGCGCCAGTTGCTGCCACGCCAGTTGATATCATCACTGTTGCCATCATTGCCATCGCCATGGCCACTGCTGCTGCTGCTGCTGTTGCTGCTGCGCCAGTTGCTGCTGCGCCAGTTGCTGCCGCGCCAGTTGCTGCTGCGCGAGTTGATATCATCGCTGTTGCCATCATTGCCATCGCCATGGCCACTGCTGCTGCAGCTGCTGTTGCTGCTCCAGTTGCTGCGCCAGTTGCTGCCACGCCAGTTGCTGCCACGCCAGTTGCTGCTGTTGCTCCAGCTGCTGCTGCTGCTGCTGCTGTTGCTCAGCTCAGCCAAAAATATCCGCATCTCTTCATTTTCTTTTGCCTGAGAATACAAAAAACATACATATAGCATTTTCAAAACATTAAAATCATAATAAAAAACATATATTTCTCTCTTTTCTTTAACGTTACCCTGTATTAGTGCACAGAGACCTGTTAAAGTAGGCTACAATGGTGGTTGAGTTGATCACCAGCCAATACTTTAACACTGATGGTATTCTTTCTGCATGTTTTTTTTTTCCCCCAAAAAAATTAGTAGGGCATTGACCACAAACCACAGCGCTTCCTGCCAGTAAAAAGGGATGTTGCTGCTTGTTCCATTTACATTGGCAGAAGAGCTACTCTCTGTTGTTTTTGTCACACAGATTTCCCCAAAAACCAAACCCCGTCACATTCAATGTAAAATGCAGAGGCTGGTAGACTTAGTCAGTGTTCTCCGCAATTTATTTATTCTTATCACAACAAAAGAGCCAGTATTAACTTTGAAATGTTTCACTGGTGTTGAAATGTCACATTTAAAGGGGACCTATTGTGCTGTCACCAATTTTGTCACATGTAGATAATGTTACAATGAAGGTTGTTCATATTAAATGTGGCCAGTGTTTCAAATAAGGAAGTAAACTTATGTTCAAGTTATCATGTGAGCCAAAACCTCAGACTTCTCACAGTTTTTTCTACTCTGGTTACAGTATGATGTCATAGTGTGCTGGATTTCTTGGTCATGGTCATCTACAGCTGCAAGTACACTGCTACATGTAGCTACATGCTAATGTTAGGCAAACCTGTAATTTTGGTTGCTGATGTTGTTCATTTCTCCCAGATTTCGGATCATATTCCCACTGGAACATGAATGGTTGAAAAGTTTTTGATTTAAGAATTTAATTTAATTTAATTTTGGTGATTTCTTAAAGTAGAAGTGCTGCTATTCTCTAAGTAAATACACTTACTTACTGCTATTGTTCATGTAAGTGCATGCTAATGTCAGGCAAACCTGTAATCTTAGTTGCTAATGTTGTAAATTTCTCCCGGATTTTGGATCATATTCCTCCTATAACATATCAGGTCATGTTTATATCTTTTATTGTTGATTTTTTTGTGATAGAAAGTGCCACTATACTCAACTGAAGTCATTCTGCAGCTGCAAATACACTGCTACATGTAGCTACATGCTAATGTCAAGGAAACCTGTGATCTTGGTTGCTGATATTATTAATTTCTCCCTGATTTCAGATCAAATTCCTGCTGGAACATGTCTGGTTGAAAGGATTTTTGGTTTATAGGATTGTATTTGTGATTTCTTTGTTACAGTCATTCCCCAGCTGCAAGTACATTGCTAACATTCATGTAGGTGCATGCTAACATCAGGGAAACCTGTAATTCTGGTTGCTGATGTTGTAAATTTCTTGCAGATTTTGGATCATGTTCCTGCTGGAACATGTTGAGTTGTGTTTTGAAGCTTGCAGGATAGAAAGCGCCACTATAGTCAGTTACAGTTACTCTGCTAACATACATGTAACTACATGCTAACATCAGGCAAACCTGTGCTCTTGGTCGCTGATGTTGTTAATTTCTCCCCTATTTCAGATCATTTTCCTATTGGAAAATGTTTAGTTGAAATGACTTTTGGTTTAGAAGATTTTATTGGTGAAGTTTTAACAGTAGAAAGAGGTGCTAATTTCTGTTTCTGTCATTTCATGGCTGTAAGTACGCTGCTAATGTTCATGTAGCTGCATGCTAGCATAAGGTAAACCTGTAATCCTGGTTGCTGGTGTTGTACATTTCTCCTAGATTTCAGATCATGCTCCTGCTAGAAAAAGGTTAAGTTGTGTTTTGAAGCTTAAAGAATAGAAAGTGCCACTATACTCAGTGGTCACTCTGCTAACGTACAGTCACTCTGCTAATGTACATGTAGCTTCATGCTAACGTACATGAAGCTACATGCTAACATCAGGCAAACCTGTAATCTTGGTTGCTGATGTTGTTAGTTTCTCCCCTATTTCAGATCATTTTCCTACTGGAACATGTTTAGTTGAAAGGCCTTTTGGTTTTGGAGGATTTTATTGGTGATTTTTTTTTTTTTTTTTTACAGTTGAAAGGAGGTGCTAATTTCTGTTGGCTGCATGCTAACATAAGGTAAACCTGTAATCCTGGTTGCTCATGTTGTACATTTCTCCTAGATTTCAGATCATGCTCCTGCTGGAACATGTTAGGTTGTGTTTTGAAACTTTTGGGGTATTTTTTTGTGACAAAAAGTGCCAATACACTCAATTACAGTCATTCTGCAGCTGCAAGTACACTGCTAACGTACATGTAGCGACATGCTAATGTCAGGGAAACGTAATCTTGGTTGCTGATGTTGTTAATTTCTCCCAGATTTTGGATTATGTTCCTGCTGGAAGATGTGTGGTTGAAAAGATTTTTGGTTTAGAAGATTTTATTGGTGTTTTTTAACAGTAGAAAGAGGTGCTAATTTCTGTTACAGTCATTCCCTGGCTGTAAGTACACTGCTAATGTTCTTGTAGGTGCATGCTAACATCAGGGAAACCTGTAATCCTGTTTGCTGATGTTGTAAATTTCTCCCAGATTTCAGATCATATTCCTCTGATTATGGGTTAGAAGCTTTTCTTGTTTTTTTTTTTTACACTAAAAAGGGCCACTATTCACCATTTAAGTAATTGCCCTAGCTGCAATAATGGTGCAGAGACGCCAAAATACGCAAGACCCAGAGATACTGACCAATCAGAGCAGCTTTTTTTTTCCAGGAGGGGAAAGGCACTAAACAAGTGTTTGAGACAGAGATTGAATACAGGTGTTCCAGCACAGACAGTAAGAGGAAAATAAAATGTAAACAAGTTCTAGTTAAAACCCAAAACCCAAGCATGAACCCCCAAATTAGCGTTATAGGTCATCTTTAACATCTTTAACTGGGCATTTTAAAGTATGTAAAAATGTTATTAAAAGAAAGTAGACACCATTTCTTACAATTTCTTGCTCATGCCATATCAAAATAAACACTGGATCCGAGAGTTTAACACAACAAACAATCACCAACATGCGGATAATCCATGTGCATACATGTATTTGTGTGTCTTACTACTCTATCCAGGTCTTCCAACAGGTTGCTGGTCACAATACGCAGGCCTTGGATCTCTGTCAGCAAGCCCACCAGCTCCTCACACGGATGACGACAGACCTCTGACGACACATTGTTGACCTTTGCACCGCCCACACCTGCAGATGAAACACAACATATGTCCTGTGCTACATTTTATACTTGCGAAGAAAACAAGGTGAATAGACTGTATTGGAATGCACTGTGTTTGTGTTTGCACATGTGTGGTACCTGCGCACACAGCTGATGCATAGAGGAATATCAAAAGCAAGGTGAAACCTCTCTGCGGACTCATTCCTGTTCACACATAAATCACATATGCAGCCACCATGAAATAAAGCACCTATACTGCTCCACCACTGCACCATACAAGCAGGACTGCTGCTGAGGAGATAGGAGAAGAAGAAGAAGAAGAAGAAGAAGACAAGAAAGAGGGAATTAACCATGCATACCTGCGTACTCCTTGCTGTTCAGCCTTTCTCCACGATTAGAAATCACAGCTGGTAGGCTCGTCCCCGCTGCAGCTCCACAAGGGCTGTGATGGAATGTGTGTCTCCTCGTCTTCTTCTTAATTCTCTTGTCTCCTTGTTTCCTTCACACTGGATCAGGGCTTATCAATACAACTTCCTCAGTACTTTGTTGTCCGTCAGGTTGGTGAGAGTGAAATCTGAGTGAAAACATGAAGACAGCTCTGTTAGTTCTGTAGAAACTTCTAATGTGGCTATGTATTTGTTTGAGTGTGTGTGTGTGTGTGTGTGTGTGTGTGTGTGTGTGTGTGTGTTTGATTGTGTGTGTGTGTGTGTGTGTGTGTGTGTGAGGCAGGAGCGGGAGCCATATATTACCCGTCTGTCTGGCGATGAACTGGGCTGCATATCTCCCAGCGAGAAACCCAGCTGGATGGAAGGAACTTGTGTGTGTGTGTGTGTGTGTGTGTGTGTGTGTGTGTGTGTGTGTGTTGACGTCTCGATGCAGGTTTCCCAGACACATCATTTACACTCTTCACTCTCCAAACTGAGACACACACACAAAATCGTGCACTCACACATCGATACACACATACACACACTTATTGGCTGCCCGAGTTTTTCCAATATTTTAGGAGCGAGAAAACTGGCATCACCGTTAATCCCTGGTGAAAATGAGAGACTTGGTGTGTTTGTGTGTGTGTGTATGTGTGTGTACGTGTGTGTTCTTATGGCTGATTTTTCTTGATGCATGCAGAGGATCGTGAGGTAAAGATGAGCAAGCTGATGGAATACAAAAACATCTACTCCCATTGGGACCATCATCTCTCTTTCCTTTCTCCCGCTCTCTCTTTTTCCTCCATCACTTTCCTCCTTTCCTCCCTCCTTCCCCCCCTCTCTCTGTTTGGTCTTCTCCCTGCTGTGTCAAAGAGGCATCATCATCATCCTGAATCACATTTTCCATCTGTAGACTCCACTTGTGGAATAATGAATCCCGCAGATGTGTGCACACACGCACGCACACACACGCAAGCGCCTGTGCCCATACAAACACACAACCTCTCTATATCCAGATACATAGAAACATCACAACCAAGAACAAATGAGGACAGGCACCATGTTTCCATCCTGGAAGTGGTTCAGTAGTGGAGACGTTGAAAGCAGGTGCTGTCACTGCTCTGAGGAGAAGAAAAACCCCAAAAGTAATACGATCTGAGGGATATAAAAGGTAAGGACTTGGGCGAGATTGCTTGGCAAAGTCCAGAGTGACATTCTTGGACTGATATGCCCTGTGGAAGGCACATTCTGTTCTGGGATCTCTCTTAAAGTCTGTGGCTGTCAGTCTTCCCCTGTTTTTATAGAGTAAATAGTTTCAAAGAGGGCACCTTGCTCGCTGTCTCATGACACTGTTCAGGGCTGTAATCACCTATTTAACTTTGGCGGGGACCATTTTCAATCTACACCTTCTGCGAACCCTCAAGGGTGGTCGGCGGAAATCACCCCCAGGAGAAAGTTTTAGAAACTTCACAGCTAAAGTGACCACTGAGAGCATTTTTAAACAAACATCTTAGATGAGGGGTTCTCACCAACACACTCTCGCTCCAACCTCGTCACATATTGACATTTGGTCATGGACTGTCCACGTCCACTTACGACATGCAAGGGGCCTGTGTGTTGATTGTTGATGTTCTGGGACACCGTGTCAAGTTCTGCCTGTTACATGCATTGTCCTCTTTCAAAATAAATGCACTATGCCAGTAGAACACCGCAATTTTTTTTCCTTCAACAACAAAAACACATGGTTGGGTTTAGGAAAAAGAACAGGGTTTGGCTTTACAATCTTACAGGACTTGAACACCACTCTCTTGGGTGAAAGTCAGTGTTTGTTGGACCCATCCACCACCACCACTCCCGCCTGACTGCCCCAGTCAGAATTTCACCACCTTAAGTTTCGTCTTTGTCCCACCATGTTTCCCCCTGACGCCACCGCGTGTTGTTAAACTATAACGGCAATCATGCCGACGTTAAAGGACGCCTTTTTCATTGGTTTCTGACTCTGCAAGTCACTGCCCAAGTGCCTGATTTTGAGGACTTCAGAGTGAGACCAGGCTCTTCTCACAGTTTTGATGACAGAGTGCTATTTTAAGGAGCCAGCCTATGATTGAAGGCCAGACAGGAAAAGTGCACATACTGAACAATCAACAGTGTTATACATCAGTCTATCCTGTCGCTAAACCAAAATTAGTGTGCTGCTATTTAAGATTTGAATCTGAGGATATTATGTGATGTGTGCTGTTTGTGTAATTGTATGTCAAATTTGTGTGTGAACTTCTTGAGATGTCTGAGGATGCAAAATGAATTTCAGCGTAAACTGACAATAAACATACAGCGTATCATATTTTATCGTATAGTATCTTAACCATTCTAGTTTTATTAATATATCGAGGGTGACATTCTGAGCATATTTGAATATTAGGGAGGATGTGTCCCCCCAGTCTATCAATCTATCTATCTATAAATATATATACACACACACACACACACACATATATATGAGGGTTCATTCCATATATTCAGACTTTCATTCCATATATTCGAGGTTCATTCAATATACTTGTAATTTAATTCCATATATTCAAGTTTTGTTCAATATATTCAGACTTTCATTCACACACACACATTTATATATATGTATCTACATATACATACTGTAAAACTTCAATTAAACGCCCGGTCCCTTTTACTAGCCTGGTGTGGCTACACATTTTGACAAAGAAAGGCCTGTCTCAGTTAGACGCCTGGTCTGGTTGTCAAACAGTTCTTTTAAGTTCATAACTGATATATTATCTGAAGCCTAATTTTTATACAAGTAATATTCATACCGGTTTAAATAAACAATTTGATTGTATTTCCCATATATAGGCCTGTTGATATCAGTGATTAAAACAAATAATAGCCCGGGCTATTCAAAGAAGTTTTAAGGTAAGTCTATCCATCTCTCTCTCTCTCTCTATATATATATGTATATATATATATATATATATATATACACACATATATGCACATGTTCTAAATATCGAGGGGGGCGTATCCCCTGTGTTCTACCTAAAACCTACACCTATGCCAGGAACTGATGACAGGTTTCAGGGCTATCATGGGCTGTATGACCTCCAGAAGACCACTGGTGAGATCGAGGCAGGGCTGAGAACACTTTATGCAATCAGGCGGCTTAAGAAAGGCCGAGGTGGGGCTGCAGCAATTGGCCCATTTCTTTGAAAGTAACCAGACCAGACATCTCAAGGGGCTTTTGCATTATGCTCTAAGCCCTCTGCTGTGAGCAGCAACCTTATTTGCTAGGCAGGCCAGACAATATCCTGCAATTGCCATAGCACTCCTAAGCATGCAGTGGTCAGAGAATTACATGGGCTTAAAGTAAAAGGATTTACATGGAAGGGTGCACAGTAAAACAAGAATAGAGAAGTTCGCAGAAAAAGGTGTCATAAGACAGCAAGGTTAGATATCATGAGTGGGACTTCTTGTCAGGAATGTATTTTAATTGCACATTTAAGTGTACAAATAATTAAATGTTTCTGTTGCGTGCAGCCAAATCATACAGACATGTGTTTTCTTGCTCTATCTGCCTGACAGACAGATATGCTGATTCACTAATGCTCCGTGTCTGCCCCAATAACAGCCACAGTGGGTCAGTAGAACATGAGAGGGGCATTAATCCAGTTATCAGATCATCCTATTATTCTGCAGATTAGCTTGCAGCACACACGCATCTAGTGCCTCTGGGATTTGTAGTCCACAGTCATGCCTTCCAGGTTGCCCCCTACCCAAAGCCTACACGTGAAAGCTTTTTATATTTATCAAAGCCTGCTCTCTTACTGGTGCTGAAATCAAAGCGTGACCATAGAGTACCACCCTTTCTAGCAACCTGTGGGGTAGCCATCACTGTGAGTGCACAAGCCCCCACACCATCCCTTTCAACTTGTACTGGTAAGGTGTGAAGTGAGAGGTGACGCAGCGCCTGACACTGCAGGTCAGAGCGAAACCGGCCCCTGCGCGCGCTCAGGGCTTTGCACAGCTCAATTAGCGTGACACACTTTCCCCTGTGATTGCCTGCCTGCCTTCCGCCTGGTCTCTGGACACACAGGATTATGCCCTTTAAACTTCTCAGACGCCACAGCATTCATTAGAGAAAGAGGAACGGGTTTTCTTTACCTTTTTACACATTGCAGAAAAGTGACCAGACCATCAGTGGGATATGAAAGTGGATGGGGACACGGCGGCGTTTATCCCTCAGAAGGAGATTGTGTATAATGGACTGCTGCCTTATGCTGACCGGTTGGACCGAGAGGCCACGGAGCTGTTGGCGGAGATCAAGGCGAACCTGTCCAGAGCTGTCCTCCTCAGAGAGCTGTGGCCCGGGGTCGCCTTCTGGTCCAGGAAACTCCTCTCGTAAGTGTTGAAGCCCTGGTTGTCCTCTGGATACAAGCAAACCCATGATTACTTAGTATTAGGCCTAAAAAGTCAGTCAATAATAAGTGTTTCTAATTCTAAAAATTCTAAATCTAAATCTAAAATCCAGGATGCATTAAAAAGCAACCACCTGGAGGAGTGTAGCTGGTAACTACCAGAGCTGACACACAGAAGGGAGCAAAGGTTGGCTGGAAGTTTGACCAATATTGTTTAATAGATAAAAATATACTAGTGCTGTTGTCTGTGAATGGTCAGTGACGTCCAACTTGCAAAATCATAGAGAATGCAGTGATGAGTAAGTGACTTTGCATTTGTAATAAAACGTAGAGATGCATGGTAAACTGAATCAAGGCTGTGTAAAATGGAGGAGGTTGCATGCATATACAGTATGTCACTGTAATGAATCACAGACAATCTTAGCACTGAAAGTAAAACAAGACTTATTTCTAAAATAAAAGCCAACCTTCACTTTAAGCTTCCTAACTAGAGCAGCAATATGTACATTAAATGAAAGCTTGTCATCTATCCATGTACCCAAGTACTTGTATGAGGACACTCGTTCAATTAATTTACCATCAGACGTGAGGATGCTAAAATCCTCAAGCATTGAGAATACCATAAACTTCATTTTCTGAGCATTTAAAATCAATTTTAAACTCAGCAGAGCAGTTTGTAATGACTGAAAGGCTGTCTGAAGCTCTGGCACTGCCTGCATTAGGAGGGTGCATGCATGTAAATCAGGACCAACTAACAATAATTTTCAGTATGGACTACTCTGATTATTTTCACGATTAATTGATCAAGTGTTCAGTCTATAAAATGTCAAAAAATTGTAAAAAATAAATAAATAAATAAATAAATAAATAAATGCTCCTCACAATTTTCCTGAACTTAAAGTGACATCTAAAATTTGCTTATTTTCTCCAACCAACCGTCCAAAATCCAAAGACCCTTCATTTACTATCACACTCTGCTTCATGGGTTTCATGGATAACACTTAAAACTAGAAAAGTGCAGACCTCCGCCAAGTAGGTGATATTCCCTCCTCCTCTGCATCAGATTTTGCAGCCTGCATCACAATTAGGTTATTTGCATCACTATCATTATTAGGTTATATATGTCTTCACCATGGAGACACTGTGGTGTATTTATTTCATTTTTATTTTGTACCAACACAGAATATAATATGTTTTTTTGTATTTTTCACAGAACATTAATTTCAACTTTAGAATTACAACAATATTTAGCAAGTAGAATGAGACATGCTTTCTGGCCACCAGATGGCGCTATTTTCACCGTCTTTAGAAATTGGAATTGCTGCTGAGGCTGTCAGATGATAGACTTTATTTATTATTTTATTATTATCCACTTTGCTTTGCTTCAAACGATGACCACCAAAATTTGGTTCACCTTTCCTGAATTTCATCAAAATCCTTTCAGAACTTTTTGAGTTATTTTGCAGACAAACAAACAGACAAACAGACCAATGCCGGCGAAAACATAACCTCCTTGACAGAGGTAATAAAGAAGTTTTTCAGCATAAAAAAATTATGTTTCTTTAATGAATGTGTTTTAGTCAGTTGACAACTTATTTTAAGACGCTGGTCAAAATCAAAAACATTTTGACATTTTTGAGTAGAATGGAAATGAAATAAGTTAGAATATCAAATTTTCGATAAATATTAAATTGGCTCAATTTAATTAAATTTTGCAAGGTCAAAGCAAATCATGTTGGTTTCACTAAACTAATTGAGTTTGTCAGATTATAAAAAACCCATGGGATTGACTCAAAAATGCCAGAGTTGGGACTACTTAAAAAGATGCATGCATATTGTTATCATAATCTTTTAAAGCTGAACCAGTTGCTTATTTTTTGAGTGCATAAATTACAAAGAAAAGCAGCAAATTCTCATGTTTAAGAAGCTCAACCGACAAATGTTTGACATTTTAGCTCGAAAAATTACTGTGACAATTAATCTCTTACAAAAATTAAAAAAACAATTGATTAATAGTCTTAAATTTGACTTTGTGAGGTCTTAATTGCTACAAACATTCTTCTAGTTCAGTGGTTCCCTACTGGTTCAGCCACAGGGTCCAGAATTCTCCTTAATCATTAGTTCAAGGTCCACACAGTTTAATATGTTCAGCATCATATTTGTGTTTGGCCATATCCTGGAGTTAGTGTGCTGCCTCTGTCAAGTTGCTGTTCGTTAGTCGCTCATTTCACAGCAGGAAACAGCACCTCAAAATAAAGGCTTGGTTCCAGAAATTCACTATACTTCAAAATAAAGTGTGTTTTTAACAAACTTGAAATGTTCGCAAGTCACTTGCGGTCCATTCCATTCAGAATGGACCCAGAGTCCAGCTCTTTTGTGTTGAAGTCCACATTCCTGATGTTGCCAATCTTTACACCAACTACTGGACCCAGTTCTTAATACTTGGGATAACATACATATACAGAATCTACCTTTATACCTGTAGCCTAATGCCTGAGAACAAAAGATGATTTGTCCCAAAAGTCTTAAATTTGGATAAAAAAGAACTTTCTCTTATTTATCTTATCTTAAAACACATTCAAGTATCTGATACCTTTTGACACCCCATTCGTAATGATGGTCTATACTGTCACAGTTTATTTAGATTCTGAATGTGGTTTTTGAAGTTATTTTATCAGATTGACTGCAATCAGCCCAACGATATCACACCTCACAGCTTCACAAACATATCACAATCACTTTAACACTTTCGTTTACATTGTACAGTGTGTCAGTATTTCCTTACATGTGGCCACAGGTATAATAAATGTTAATTTTAAAAACCAAATATTCCATTTTAGGTCTATTACACCTTAAGAAAAGGGCAGTTAATTGCCAAATATATCCTCATCATAGCAAAGAGGAGACTGCAAGGAATACTTTGCCAACAAAATTATCATTTTTATATCAATAACTTAACATGTGTTTCATTGAATTGTTTTTCCTATAATAATACATATTGATTCATTGATTGATTGGGGACATTGTTCACAACAGCAAAACTATATCAAAACATCTGTTTACAAACTCTCACACAATTTGTGAAATATAATCCAAGTCTTATTTATACAACTGTGTGTGCAGTGCTTCCCAAACACATGTTCCTGGCGACTAATTTCCCTGTCGACTAAATGAAAATTTTAATTAGTCGACTAGTCTATAAAAAGGTCTCGCCACGGTGTATTCAGGCTCATCATGTTCCATTAACTTCCTTTACCAAAGTTAAGTGGAAGCATATCTTGCAAGGTCATTGTCATGCTATGTTATCTTCTCAGACAGGGCGGGATCACAGCGTCTAAGGGTGAACTATGTCAAATTGGTCTGAGTGTGGCCTGCACATCTAGCAGCAGCAGCCGTCGTTCCATGCAGGTTAACATCCAAATGCTTGAGTTGAATGTGGTTGTGCATTGCTCCAGTCGAGTGATTATATGCCAGTGTTTTCCGACACAGCCTGCATGCTACCTTGTTTTCATTTTCTAGAGTACTGCCAAACCGCGCTGGCTTTACGAGAGGATGTCCCTCCAATTTTCCACTGTGCTGTATTAAAACTCTAATTGGTTTAACTGACTAATATTTCTGGTGCAGACTAACGAGGGAGCGCACGTTTAATCGTTTAAGTGACTAATCACGCATATCCCTAGTATACAAACAGTCTCAAACACGGATGTAGTGTGCTTGGGCAGGACAAAGAATGTTTGCCTTTTTTGGATTGCCCCGTCACCATGGAGGCATGCGAGGAAAACAAAATTTCCTCCACAAATTCAAGTTAACACGTGATCAGTAATTAATATACAACATCTTCTAAGTTTACTGGAATTTGTCTGCTCGGTATCAACTTTATTTACCCCTTAGCTAACTAGAAAGGTCCAATTCAGACACAATATCTGTTCTGCAAGGGAGTTCTGTACAAGATGGGCAACAAAATAAACATTTCATATACAAGTACAACTGTGGACGGATGACATCACAAAAAAAGATACCAGAATACAACAACAGACAGAAAACATACAGGAATTAGAGGCTAAAAAGAATCATGGCAAATTAGACTGCTTGTTAAAGGCATTAAGATTATTTTCAGAGTCAATTAGGTTATTCTCATGTTGAGACACTGGGCTGCTGAAGTACTGCACTGATGTACTTACTGTACTTTGAGGATATGGGTCAGCCATGTGAAGCAGGAAGTGATCAGCAGCTCACTGACAGTGACATGTCCTAACCCCTGTCCTCAGGTTTCTGAAGCTGTATGGCCGCAGGTTCAGCAAAGAGGACCACATTCTCTTCATCAAGCTGCTCTATGAGTTGGTGACGCTGCCGAACCTGGAGCCTTACATGATGCAGAGCTACGCCAGGCTGCTCATTCAGCTTCTCAAGTGGGTGTGACACAAACACAGACATAACAGTGATCTAGCTTTATTTGTATAGCACCTATCTTATCAAGGTTACAGAGTGCTTCAAAAATGCATGAGAATAAAACAATAAAAATGTGGTAAAATGATAAGAACTAAGAAAAACAGTGTATAGAAAAGCAAACACAACAAAGGTAGAGAATTCCAGAGTCTAGGGATGGCAAAAGGCCCATCACTTTTGGTCACCAGCTTTGACCGAGGGACAACTAGGAAAGGTAGGCTTTAGGATCTCAGGTTACGACTTGGCGCATAGGAAGTTCGAGGCCTAGTAAAATAACCAGGGGCCAAACCATGTCAAGCCTTGACATTAAAAGAATCCTAGAGTTCACAACCAATGAAGGGAGGCAAGAATTGGGGGGATGTGGGACCTACAATCGGTCCTGGTCACTAGCACTAGCTGAAGCCA